AAATTTTGTTGTCATTTAAATTCATACAATACATTTTTATTTAGCTTAGAATTATTTTCCGGTTACATCACCAACTTTTCTTACTTTGTTTAGATCAGTGTTTCTCAACCTCTCCTGCAGGGACCCCCTGACAGGCCATGTTTTTGTTTTAACTCTGAAATGGCACACCTGATTCAAGTAATTAAAGGCTTAATGAGTAATTAGAGTAGGAATAGTTCAATTAATCAATTAGTCAACTACTCATTAAGCCTTTAATGACTTGAATCAGGTGTGCCATTTCAGGGTTAAAACAGAAACATGGCCTGTCAGGGGGTCCCTGCAGGAGAGGTTGAGAAACACTGGTTTAGATAATGTATTTACTACATTAAATCAGGGTCCCCTTTCGATAACGGTTCAATCACATTGCATTGACAGCTGACGCTATGAAATCTCTTTCTCTGAAAATACTAAAGCCTGATTGAATCATGTTGAATCATGAATCATGTGCAACTGCACGGACCAATGGCGTCTCAGCGCAGCCAAAAAATGGTGCACAAAATAAGTGCCATTTCATCAGAATCTTTCCTCAAGTGTGAAGACCATCTCCTCACTGATCTCGTGAAGAAAAGAAGCCTACCTGTTTCCGTTTTGAAGAGCCCAGCAGCGATATCATTAACTCGACTAAGAGGCGCCTCTCCCATGCGGCCACCCGGCGAGTGATCGAGCGAGTTTACTCACGATAAAAGAGCATTTCAATTGGTGTTTGTTGCAAATTGTTGCACCACTAATGTCTCGCCTTGCTGCGCTCGTGGATCACTTTCTGTAACAGAAGTAATCCCGCCCCTTACGCTCATCCTTTCTCTACCCTCTCCTCTCACAAGCAGGAAGAAAGTCAGAGTCGCGGGGCCTGGGAAACGGGACTCAGAGAGCTCACGCCGGTCCAGATCCAGCGTGTCTCATTCTCCCCAAAGCAAGAGGATTCCCTTGTGCTGTTTACCTGCGAAGACCAACGCCCCTCTTCCGGTGTGGGTGGATTAGTCTCGTTTCGAGGGTCTGAGAAAGATGATGGCGATGATGCCATGTCCCTGGTTGCTTCAGATGCAGAGAAGTGATTGAACCTCACTGAGGATTCCGCCACCCTGCCACAAAATGTGCCAGATGATTCTCAGCCCTGGCTGGACTCCGAGCTCACCAGAGTCCTCTCAAAGGCAGTCGAGGAGCTGGGGTTAGAGTGGTTCCTGCAGCCAAGGCACTGCCAGTGAGCCCCGAGCATTTTTTCCAGAGGTTTTCGTGGCGTGCCCCCTAACACCTGCCCAGCCCCACCCCAAGGCAGAGCCTGAGGTCAGTCAGAGCTCCTCACTGTTGAGGCCCCCGGATCGAAGCCATCCCTGAGCCAGACTCGCAGGGCCTAATTCTCTGCCTTTGGCTTGGACAGTTGTGCGCTTATGACACAGTGCTGTTGGATTGCATTCCCCATAGCATCAGCTATCGACGCAATGTGAGTGAACCGTTATCGAAAGGGAACGTTTCGGTTAGTAACGTAACCTTGGTTCCATGAGATAAACGGGAACGAACAGTGCGTAAGCTTGTGTTATGCTTGCACTTTTTGCAGTCGCTTGACACTTCCTCAGTTGAAAGGCTTTCAGTAGACCCAAGAACCCCTAAATGTAAATAAATAAATAAAAAACTAACATTATTACATAATTCAGTCCTTTATGCCGTACCTTCTCCCTATGCAGTACCTTTACAGACCCACAGGGGTCCATAAAACCCTGACATTAAATAATAGATGATCTCAATAGTGTGTGCCTTTTGGAGAACACATTTTAACATGTTGACTATCATTTGACATAAATGGGTGAACCCTATCTGAAATCTTTACAAAGCAGTTCAACCATCTAAAAGCAATTTGTTGATTGGTTTGAAATGACCAGAACAGGGAAGCTGAGGACATTTGTCAGTCTGTCAGTCTACCATGTTTTTTTAGCCCTGATGAGACGTCTTCTGTCATTAACTCACATGCTCACGTGCTTAGAGGAACACTTCATATGACAATCTACAAGATCATACAGTATGTTTACAAAACAACCTTTGGAGAAGAGGCATATCCTTAAACATATATAGCCTACATATCACTAGCACTGACCAACCATTTAGGTATTAATATATATATTTTCATGGGTTTATAAGCTTGACTTAGAGCAGTATGATAATGTCAGCAATGTAGTTACAGTCATCAACCAAACTGTTTTTTGTTGCTGACATAAGCATTGATAAAGGTGATTTTTTTTTTGTTGGCTCGCTTACCGAAGCACAGCTCTAAACCACCTCTGGACAAATATTCTCCATCGTAAGTGCCGTGGCTCATCATGGAAGATCATTGTCAAAGGGGACCCGGTTGTTCAAAGGGAGGACACAAAATAAATGTAGTCAAGCTGCGGGGTGTTTTGGACAATGCAGAGGCCAAACTAGCATTTATAGTTTCTTGTGGATGATCAAAAACTCTCATAGCCAGTATCCTTTGACCTAATGTGGGATGAGGGTAGCTATAGTGGTGCAGCTGATGTCAAGAATGGCTTTGCTTTCATATTTCATTCACTGGATCAGTATCCATTGTTCTTGAGAGACTCTCAGTGGTTCCTGCTTGGGATCAATCAAAAAAGCAGCTGAAACCGCTGCGTTTCAGCCTCTGGCAAAGTTCATTCAGAAGCTAGTGAAATTGTAAGGGTCAAGAAGACATCAACCTTATGTTCAGAAATGTTGTTTTTGAACTATAAGGGAACTAGAAGAGTTAAAATAATAGGTCCCAGTCTACCACAGAAACTTACATAAGAAATACTAGACTTGCACCTGCAGACCAAATGGCCTTGGCCTGGACTTCAATTTTTTTCACAGAATTGGACAAGATCCTATAAATAGAATATTTAGCCTGCAGAACTTTTGAGAGCTCTACATTTATGGAAACATCTTGTCAGTGGCAACTACAAATATATATATATATATATATATATATATATTTTTTTTTTTTTTTTTTTATGTAACATTTGAATAGACCTTATAATCTTTTGCATTATGCTTCATCATCTGAGCTACAATGTTATCAAACATTATATAAGGCAATGTCACATTAAAACAAATTGTTTAATAATGCAAGCTAATCAATAAGGTTAGTTTTAGGAGTCATAAACACGCACTGATAAAGAGAGGGAGGGAGGGAGGGAGGGAGAGAGAGAGGGAGGGAGGGAGAGAGAGAGGGAAGGAAGGAGAGAGAGAGAGGGAGGGAAGGAGAGAGAGAGGGAGGGAGAGAGAGAGGGAGGGATAGAGAGAGGGAGAGAGGGAGGGAGAGAGAGAGGGAGGGAGGGAGAGAGAGAGGGAGGGAGGGAGGGAGAGAGAGAGGGAGAGAGAGAGGGAGAGAGAGAGGGAGGGAGGGAGGGAGGGAAGAAGAAGAATATACCACTAAATTTTGGTTACCACCGACTTACGGAAACAAAACAAAACATTGATAAATTTTTCAAAATATATTTTATGTTCCACAGAAGAGAGAAAGTAGTTTGGAATGATGGGGTGATAAAGATTGTTTTGGGGGTGAACTATCGCTTTAAAATCCACAGCATAAACCTTTTTGTCACATGCAAGTAGCACTCACAAAGACGATTCAAATAACAGGCTTTAGACTCTGAAGATCAGGATAAACTCAAACCAATCCATACATTAATGAGAACTAACAGAGACCTGAACAGTAACAAGAGAATTAAATTAGACACAGGTTATAATCAGTAACTAAGGAACCTAATAAGAAACGCAGACAAACAGGAACACAAAACCAAATCAGAGCATAGATGTTACACCTTTTACAATGGCCCTCAATTACCCAAAGAAAAAAAAATTAATAACATGATATTCTCTCTGCCTTTTTCCTTTATGATTTTGCAAAACCTTAGCTGGTTAAAGACAACACTGCAATGTTCTAGACTGGACTTCTATGTAGGAGTAAAGCAACATTACAGGACTATATTTGGAATTTCCCACTTGCAAGAAATACATCACTTTGAAACAACTATTTGGTGGGTCATGAATTCTGCCCTTGACAGGACACTCTTCTTTGAAACGTTGTCTGAGGATATGCCTCTGAAAATAAATTTTTGTCATATATTTAGTCCACACCACATATATTCCACCACAGATCAGTAAGTTTTCTAACCCTACTCTATGATGCATTTCTAATACCAGTCTAATAGCAGAGCTTATAAAATGTCAGCCTTATAAGCGAATAGGCTTTTAGTTGAGGAAGACCTTTTAAAGTCTCTGGCGCCCAATGTCAAAGAGGGTTTCCGTAGAACAAAGAGGGAGCGTGCAAGCAAGCCTGGGGCAGATGGTGCAGCCAATCAGACATGCTGTAAACATATGATCTAGTAAAGAGGCTATGACAGTGGGATGACAAAGTTAATGTCTGTTATGCCTGGTGTGGAGGAGTCTGAATAGTCTATGAACACTTGCATGATCATTGCTGTTAGTTTCCATTTCTGATATATAGGCCACTAAAAATGCATACTTTTAAAAGTTCCTTTACTCTATTTTACCATGTCTATTTAAAAAAAAAAACATTTCAGGAATTGTTGTTCAGCAGTTCCACTCTAATTGGAGGGTCATTCAAGTCAGAAACCCTGTGTGAATTACAGTGTTTTACTATACCGCTTTGCCATATTATCTCTCCACCCCGTTCTCACAGCTTTTTGGTTAAACAAGGACCATAAACACAAACCATAATTAACTTTAGCGTGACGCATAGGAAATGTCTTTATTTAGTTAGTTAAAATGGTGGGGAACTGGGGATGTGGAGCCGACGATATGTCCTTGAGAATTCCTGTAACAATGAGGTGCTGCTTATAAGTCATGGACAGATGTAGCGCGACGTGACACACGCGAAATCTAAACGGAAAGTGAGAAAGGCGGTTCTGGGAACGCTATTGTGTCTCTCATTTTCCCCCATGTACTGAAGTCCCGCCCAGGCAGCTCAGCCTATAGCACTTGGAGGGCAGAAGAGACTGAGAACCGCAGCCACAAGGACATGCTGTAGTCCCCGCTAGAATCTTCAACTCTAGACACCTTCAACCCATTTAAAGGTGAGAGAAAACTGGGACCGTTTGTTTCACGTTATCGTTGTTTTGCGACCAAAAATTAAGATAGCAAATATTTAATGGTGAATTATTCTATTTTCGTGACGTAATTGTGGGATAGTCGTTGAAGCAGTGAAACGCGCTCGGGACAGCGTTTAACTTTTCAAACCCCCTCAGTGAGGAAACGTGGTACAATTATTGTTCCAAAGACGTGTTGGTGGAGCGAATTTGTTGAAACTATTAAAACAGACACGTGAGACGAAAGAAAACTGAGGACCGTGAGGAAAGTAAGTTATAGAGATTCAAATAATATCAATTAGAATTTTGCGTCACTGAAGTTCATGAATGATTCTTTGTTTAGTTTATTTATTTTACATTAGCTAGGCCTGTTATATTAGCCTACTCATGATAGTCATTATACAGGCCCCCGTTTAAAATACTCCAAATAACTTCATGTCTCTTGAGTTTTCAATTAAATGTGCGGATTTTAAATTAAATTAATATCGCATGAACGTGCACTGTTTTTGTGTTGTCCCGTGAGAGTAAATTAATGTTGTTTATTTCGGTTTCCGTAATTAGCAGTAGAGGAAATCAGCTCCAGCTATCATTACAAAACATCTTTCCTCCGTGCTCATTCTGAGCTATTTGAAAGTGAGCTCTTCTTCGTCCTGCTGCTGCTGCTGACTGGATGTGATTCAGTAGTTAGGCCTACTGTTTTTTTCCACTAGCCTACTATATTTGAGAATCACCCCATTTCCTGGCAGGAAGAGCTGCTCCAGGAGATGGTACAGATCCGAGTTTAGTAGGATACTTAAAGCTATTAGCCTAGATTAAATAAGCAGGTCTGCATGAACATGCATAGCCTAACTCCCATCCATTTCTGCACTGCTTTCTTGTAGTTATACCAGAAAACGTTGGATTTTTCCATTCGGTCTGTCAACATTTTATTATTGTCTGTCTTGTAGTGTTTGAACATTGGATGTAGTTTAGCATTTAAGTCATGACATTTTATCCTTTAACATTTAATTAATATTATTGATCATCATTTGCTTATTTGTTCTGTGTTTGTGTGTGTGTCAAACCTGTGTGTGGAAAATATCTTGTAACAAATCAGCTATAATCAGGAGTTCCAGATACTTGAACTGCTGCAGCTGTTCACAAATGTCCAAATATTTTGCCCTGCCTGAAGAAGGCTGCCTGTTGAAGCATGTTGCATACAGTGAAGATCTTGTAGCCCTGGGTTTTTTTTTTTTTTTTTTTTTAAATAATGGTTACGGTTACTCATTCTGTGCACAGTACACAAGCAGATTGCATCTAAATATGCAAGCTTTTATGTTGTCTTTTTTTTCTTGAGAAATATTTATAAAAGTACAAACAGTATGTGGATACTTGTTTAACCTGTAGAAGACTGGTTGTTTACTCTGATGTAAGCACCATTGAATGACTAACATTTTCAGCAGGTACACAACTTAAGGATTTATGGTCAGCTGTGGTTTGGTTTGTATAATTAATTTGCTGACTGGTTTGTGATGATTAAGCTACTAGAGTTGTTGTAGACTTTCCTGTAATTTTGTGTGTACACGTTTAGCTATACTTGTAAAGGACATTTGTGTGTGTGTGTGTGTGTGTGTGTGTGTGTGTGTGTGTGTGTGTGTGTGTGTGAATTCCCCTGACAACTGGCTTGTGAAGACACTATTTAAATAGACTCATAAATCAGTAAAATTGTGTTTAGCTTTCAATGTTAAATTTGAATATCAATAGGTTTGTATAAGGATTAAAGTTTAGCAAAGAACATTTGATGTAGCTACACTGGGAGCAGGGAAATCTACTTAGAGCACTTTATTTTATTAATTAAAATATCAATATTTGGCGCTGATATTTTGTCCCACCCCTATACACAATACAATAGTGTAACTATTTTTAGTGTTCATTTTATTTTGGTGCAATCACATTTTGACTCTGGGGCCTTTTACAGACTGTGAGGTGTTGTCTTTGGTTTGGTCTTGCATGTAAATTATATGAGGGATGTTTTAGTTTATCTGACATTTGATCAGAAACCGTAATTTAGGTTGCCTGACTTAAAATGGATTTCAGGTGTGTTATATCAAGTGCAGGACTACAACTGGGTACTTGTCTGCATTTTGTGAAAGGTGCATTGTAGGTGTTTAAAGTCTCCCTGTAGTGAAAATCAAGCTTTTTAAAGTCAACACCATTGCTGAGTATTTTCTCCTTAACTGCAGTGGACCAAAGACAGTCTCAAAAACGCGGATTGAAATCTCTGGTGTTTATGACGTCACAAACTATGTGTGATCATCAACGAGTGGATCTCTAATCTGGTGTGAGTGGAGGCGGGGCTAATTTGCATATTCATAGAACCGAATATACTAAATGAAGCAAGGGTGTAGAGATACATTTAAGCTATTTTAAGGCATGACAAAAAAAAATCAAGGAAAAAACGTTTAAATATGTGATTTTGGTGATTGGTGAGTTTTAAGGGGTAAAATGATTGACTACAGGGGGACTTTTAAATGATGAACACGTTCTAGTACTACTCCCCTTCCTTGTTGCATTTTATGTTTCACTACTGTGTTTGTTGTCATTGCTCTCCATCTGTGCAGGCTTTTTATAGGTACATCAATGTGAACCTTTTTGTTTTTTTTGACTGGCTGACTGCTGCAAACTGAAGCCAATGCAGCACTAATCTCAATAATTAATAAGATCAGTGGAATATGCATTGTGTACGGCGTGATGGAAGAAGTGCATCAAAAGAGATTAGATGATGAAGCCTGCTGGGAATCGGTACGGGCATTTTATGCTAGTCTTCATGACGGTGTCTTCAATACTTTAAGGGGTCATGTAATGGTACATCCACTTTGTCAAGTTGATTGTACTGAAATGTGTGTTGGCAGTGCCTGTACACAACCATCATAAGATAAAAATCTATCCAGTGTTTTTGTTTTAATCTCTTTATATGTTTTCCCCTGCCTTAAAATGAGCCGATCGTTTTTGTGACGTCAATACAACGGACGCCCCTCCCACGATTGTTGATTGACAGCAGTGTTTCCACACAGACCCGCACTGAGCGAGCTGTCATCATAGTCAGTCATTGTTGATACGCTGGAGCAGAATGGCGTCTAGGCGATTGTGTATGGAGTTATTATCCTGTCAAATGTCGAGAGCGCATTATTGTAGCGCGAAACTACATTAATATAATGCACGAGCGTGAATCTCAATGCTCGTGCGCGGAATATAATGTGCCGAGCACTAGGCCTGTAGCGGCGCGTCGATGTCAAAAATTCGTCTACGTCATATTTTTTTGTCGACGCTTCTTTATTTATTTATGTATGTATTTTTTTGCACCGTTCCCGGCGGTACAGCTCGCCACACACACGTGGGAGACCGAAACATTGCAGAATCGAGGACGAAACAGCAACCTCTTCACAGAATTCACAACAAAGCCATGCAAAAGTCCCAACAAAAGAAAAAGTCCTAAAAAAAACCAGCTCGCACTAAATCATGGAAGGTATGGGAATACTTCAAATTTAGTCCCAAACGTAAAGGTGTCGTTATTTGCGCTCTTTGTCAAATGGAGTTGACATCCCAAGTCTCCCGCATAGTGATAGCGGCTCCCTGATGACCGCAAATTAGTTAAAATCTCCCGGAATCAAGAGCTCGCAAGCTCCAAACCGTGTAGCGCGCGCCAGGGTTTCCATTGTCCGGTAATTACCGGACATTGGCCGGGAAAAAAATGAAATGTCCGACAAAATTAAATCTCTCCGGTCAAATTGTCCGATTAAAATAGCGTAATAATCCCGCCCCCCTAACACAATATGAATTTGAGAATAAGCCTAAAATGTATAAAGCAAAAATACACCGACATTTGGCTATGTTATAAAGGAACCGGCTCTACCGTTTGAAAGTCATTAAACAACATCGCATGCTGCATTTCAAATAAAGCGCACGCCTAGAACGGCTGTAATATAGACCTAAACAACGAACGATTGAGTGAGACGTTTCAAATATGGCCAGGTCCATTGATATTATTGATAAAGTTGATAAATTGATAAAGTTGAAAATGCAGACTCGCCATCTTCGCAGTAGTGAACGCGCCTGAGAGAAGTGTGCATGCGCCGACGCCTCCGTGTCCTGATTAGCCTATATTGTCCACTATATTAGCTTCTTATTGAATAATCCAGGCAAATTTGTTGATGAAACATTGATTAAAATTAATATAAAACGAAATTTTCAAGCAAAAATAATATTCGAAGATCGCTGGGTTGATTATTATTCGAAAATCGCACCCCTCCACCACATGCACGCACACATGCATTAGACTACACACCAGAGCATGTGAGCAAAGCGGAGCAGTGTGACGCTTATTATAAGTTAAAAAACTTAAATATACTTTTCATTTTTATAAATAATATAATGTTATTTTTTTTATTTATTTCATCTATGTTGATTATATGAAAAGGGAACCGCATGATATGAGTAAGATAGGATCATAAGATGACCAATAGGCCTATATATCGGAAAACATTTGGAATTGGTCAGACATGATTTTGACCACTTATTTAGTTTTGTTTTGTAGAAAGCCTTTCTTTAAAGTTTATTTCGTTTTGTATAAATTGTATCTTCATTTTAATCAATGTTTCATCAACAAATTTGCCTGTATTAAAAAATAAGAATTTATTCATATGAAGTGTGCATTTCTCTCTCTAGGCGCGTTCACTACTGCGAAGATGGCGAGTCTGCATCGTCAACTTTATCGATTTTTCAACAATTTAAATGTTTCATGCATAATCATTACTTTCGCCGGTTCTTTGTGGCAAGCTTTATTTCAGGTGTTGTGTGAAATCTCTGCGCCCAAGTAGCAGTGCTTCGCCTGTGCAGAGTCTCCGCAACGGCGATAGATTGAAACGCGCGTCCGAGTGAAGATTGCGCAACTCGCGCAGCGCGTCGTCCATGCAACTGATAGCAGCGGACACGAGCGCTCAGCTTGATTTAAAAAAACAACTGATTTTAGCGCTAGATCTCTTATTTAATAGCGAACTAAATGAATGATCTGCTAGTTAACTGGAGATGTTAACTAGTTAGCTAGTTATTTATTTGTATTAGGTACATCCGTGCCTCAATGTTTCAAAAAGTGAATGTGTGTGAAACCATAGTAAAAAACAATTGGTGTTAATTGACGCCAATCAGACGTTCATGTTTTTTTCCGTCTATTTGAAAGTTAGGCTAATATAACATGTTGCATTCTATACGGCCTGATTATGTCATTTTTTAAGTTACATAGCCTGCCTCCAGTTTTCCTCAACTTGACAAGAGGCGATATTTGACCGGCATATCATCAAAATGTCCGTTAAACGAAACCGTTGCCGGTCACTTTGACCGGCACCATTTTTTTCTAGCGGAAACTCTGGCGCGCGCAGCGAGGGAGAGAGCGAGAGACCTTGCGCGTGTGTGTGCAAATGTGCGTGTGTGCCTTATGAAGCGCATGTAAACCCCACCCCCGTCAACAAAACCGAAAAATCAGTCCGGATGTTTTTTATGAGCACTGAAAACATTAAAATGAGCACCACATCCAAGTGTGATAGGGCTCATTTGAGTAGCCTACCAAACATTTTACAGTGTAGATACTCTGTAAGAACCAGATCAAAATTGTTGTGCATTGAATGTGCACTCCTGCAATTTCCATGTTACAAAAAAGAATCGTTCAATTAGTCCTTAGATTAGTCGACTAATCGATAAAATAATCGACAGACTAATCGTTTAATTAATAATCGTTTACCCCAGCCCTACCGAGCACGAATCTCTCTGCTCGCGCGCGGGAACTGGGCGCGCGCTCTCAGATACACGCTGCTCTTGTAAGAATTTTCTCTGGGCTCGCTCAGAGAATATGCCTGCACTTAAAACGTGTTCAGTGCAATCGCGAATCTCTCCTCTTCGCTTAAAGTAAGCGTGTATGTGCTTAGACTGTGTCCCGTGCGTTCGCGCATGCCTAGTTACTCTTCTCTTCGATTTCTTTCTCTTTGCTCTTGGGATAAACGCTGTCAAAACGGCAACAACCATTCAGAAATTGCTATTCCATATGTTATGTAGGTTTTTTTTCCCCTTTTTTCTGCTGTTCTGTAAAGCACTTTGGCCAGCCAGTGGCTGTTGTAAAAATGAGCTATATAAATTAAATAAACTTCAACTTGTGAATGTCATTGGTTGTTTTTGGTCATAATCCTTGTCCTTGTGTTCCCATTGTCTCTTGTCTAGCTTTGTTCCCTGTCCCATTGTTGGTGATTCTATGTTTAGTCCAAGTTTATGTTCATGTCAATTTCATATTGTCACTTCAACCCAAATCGGTTTATTGGAATAAACTATACTTGGGTTCAATTCAACTCGACTTCAGTGGACTACATTACACATATATTATAGACATGATTCTTTTTTTTTTTTTTGTCTTAATTTTAAAATCTGAAAGTTCTTGTTTTAGGTTCTTCATATAGGCCTATTATATAGGCTACCTTGTTATATAAAAAACATTAAGAAAGGTTTTAATAATTATTAAAACCTTTCTTAATGTTTTTTTTTTATTGAATGAAACGTTTTTCATTATCTTAGAAAAACATTAAGAGGACGTTTATATAATGGGAGAATTGAACGTTTGAATAACGTTCTTATAACCAAGCAAGAACGTTAATACAACATTTATATAAAGGGAGAATTGAACGTTCTAACGTTATTATAACCAGGAAATAACGTTAATACAACCAACGTTTATATAACGGGAGAATTGGACGTTCTTATAACCAAGAAATAACATTAATACAACGTCTAAAAAACTGGACGTTTTGAAATTCCCTAGAACATTCAGAAATAACGTTTTTATACCTTAATGGGAACGTTATGAAAACGTTCTCATAACCTAAAATTGTTAGCTGGAGAAGAGGAGAGATTCGCGATTGCACTGAACACGTTTTAAAGGGATACTCCACCGTTTTTTCATATTAAACTATGTTATTCTCTTATCTAAGACGAGTTGATACATACCTCTCTCGTCTCAGTGCGTGCACTGAATCGCTCTGTCGGGCGGAGAACTTTGAGAGCAGTTAGCTTAGCCCCATTCATTGTATATGGGCCAAACAGAGATGAAGTTAGAAGCGACCAAACACATCCACGTTTTCTCTATTTAAATATAGTTACACGAGTAGTTACACGACCAAGTATGATGACACTAAATAAAATGTGGCGCTTTTTATAAGCGGGTAAAATGGATAACTATAATGTATGGCGGAATAGCACTTATTGGGAGCACTTCGACTCGGCGCTGTAATATCTTCACTCGTGAAAAGTCCTCTCCCCCCTCTCCCTCCTCTCCCTCTCCCTCTCCCTGTCATTTCCGTCAATAGAACCACCATGACCTGCACGCCTGCAGTAGTAGTAGTTTTTTTTGTGCAGAGTTGACGAAGTATCGTCTATGCGAAGTATCAGGGAGAGGGAGAGGGGGTATGTCTACCCTGCCAGTACACAAAGATAGATCAAAGTGACATTATGTTTACCAACCATTCAGAAACGTCCTGTTCGAGCCTTAATTGTCAAACTTCTTTGCGGCCGTCATCTTGTTCCGGGTCCGACTCCGGTTCAAACTGATACGGTTGCACAGATGTGTCCTCAGAGACTCCCGCTGCCATTCTTTCTCCAAAATATACCCTCAACTGTTGTCAAGGCAACACTCCACGTGCGTTGTCAAAACGCCCGCAGAACAGAGGGGCGGAGTGAGCGAAGCTCATTATCATTTAAAGGCATATGCACTGAAACGGCATGCTGAAAACAGAGCTGTTTTTGACTAGGTAAAATTAGTGTTTTCTTACAATACTAATGAGAATTTTTAATTAAAGTATATTACAAACTTTTCATTTAGACCCTAAAGAATCAAATGAACTTGTATGAAAATGGCATTATATGACCCCTTTAAGATTACTAAATCCTTATCCAGTAAATAAATAAAACATCAAGGAATTAATATCCCCGTTAGGTACATTTAATCCCAACTAAAGAGATATTTGCTTTGTGCAATTTTATTTTTCATATTACCTGGAATTTTGCCAAATAAATAAAATCATGGATTTGAATTTCAAATAATTTACTAGTAGAGACCATAGAGGGAAAGGCTCATGAATGAGCAGCCAATTATAAGGTGTTGACCTGGACAAGTCTTTTTTCAGAACTAGGCTATTTGATTGATGAATGTAGCAAGTGAATCAAGAATCAGCCATAGAGCCATGCAATTACAAGACGACACATACCAGCAAGACTGTAACCACCATAGACATTGAGGGGGACAAGTCCCCCCGCTCCCCCCAATAATTAGAAATGGCTAAATTGTTCTCCTCAATTTGATGTTCTTGATGCTGCTCTGCTGCACTCCATTATGCACCACTCTGTTTGTTATTAGGGTGACAATGTTTTTAGGCTGGTCTGCCTCAGCAGTCTAACAGCGCTTGTTGATGTCAAAATGATTGAGATAGCCAATCAGATCAAAGAAGGCGGGCCTTACTGTTCACAGAAGACAAGTGTGAAATCCAATCCAACACTTTAGTTTTATCAGTGAAAGGGTGCGAGACAAGAAATGTTTTGCGTCTTTGTCATATTATACATATAAATAAGAGTGAATGTGTGCATTTTTTAATGCCCCCCACCCATGTTCAAGACATGGTTACAGCCTTACATACTAGTGATGGTTGGATTGTGGTGTGATTATGGATTTTTACAGTGGCTTTTATTCCAGTGCAATACGTTTTATTAGGCAATGCATTCCCTGGGAATTGAACCCATGTCTTTTCCATCATGCTTTACCAGTTGAGCTACTAGAACTAACTTATTTGTTTTTCTTTTTGTACAGAATAAAATAATAATAACTCATTTAAAAATACCTTTCAACCTGCTTCATACTATAATTCTGGTAGGCTGTCATTCCAGAGCTTATTTATTTTAAACATCCATCAATTTATATTTAGTCTAGTGCCGTCTTGTCAAAAGTCAAAAGCTATTTGTGTGCATGCTTTGTGAAGAGTGTCAAAGGTTTTTATTTGCAATGTGTTTTTTGAAGTGTTTCACATTTTAGCCAATCACAGAAATGACTGTTGAACTCATTAACACAGTGGCAAATCAGAGGTTTTGTTTTCACAAGAAGTGATTGACAACTGTATTTAAATGAAAGACTGAAACAAAATTGCAGAATTGACATTGACATTGATAACCTGCATTAAAGGATTAGTTCACTTCAAAATGAAAGGTTTGAAACAACTTGAGGGTGAGTAAATGATGACAATTTTCATTTTGAAGTGAAGTAATCCTTCAAGTCTTGGAGTGTAAATGCTGACTAATGTATAATGCTTCTTCATTTTATTTAGTTTTTACTTAACTTTTAAAGAATTGTTTACTTAATTGGAAAAATTTGTAATGAAGTCTAAAAAAAATCATGTAGTTATTTATTAGGCTAATTATTGACACCTAATAATAATTATAACTCATTTAATTTTTATTTTCAAATAGTTAAATAATTATAATAGTTTTTGCTATATACAGCCATTTTTACGAGTAGCATATCAGCTCTTTAGTAAGGATGTATTGTGCTGTAATTTGATCAATTTCGGCTGGTCATTGAAGTCATTAAGCAAAAACCTTACAGTAAACCCTACAGTATAATATGTTATTCAAAATATTCATAGCTCATAATTCATAATTCTCCATTGTGCCTTTACAGGAGCATGATTCCAGTGACCGAATTCCGGCAGTTCACAGAACAGCAGCCGGCTTTCCGGGTTCTGAAGCCATGGTGGGATGTGTTCACAGACTACCTTTCTGTGGTAATGCTCATGATAGGTGTGTTTGGATGCACTCTGCAGGTAAATATTACTATTCTTCTCTTTAAACCAAATACCAAAAGATAACCATTTCATTTTTAGAGCTGAAAAGTGAGTCTTAAAGTGGAAATCAAGCATTCAGTCAAGTTAACAATATTTAGTGAATGGATTTCAACTCTAATCAAATGATATAACAAACACGATCAATGTAACCATTTAAAAGAAATTTAGCTTTTGTACAGTAGCAAGAGCACCGCTTTCTTGCAGTACTACACTCGCTGTGATGTCACAGGGTTGGTTGTCTTGCCTGAGTTCATCAGATACAATGGTAGAAAGACAGTTAAAGACAGACAGTGGAGGACAGATAGTGAAAGATAAAGACAGAGACCGTGAAAGATGGAAACTGGACCACTATTGCATTAGTCCTGGTTGTAATATATATATATATATATATATATATATATATATATTTGTTTTACAGTGTTAAAGCAAAGGACAAAAGAGTCCATATTCATAAACTGCCTGAAAGGGAGAACAGTTGCTTCATTTCCTGATACACATTCAGACACACCCACCGCCACAATATTTCCATAGTTACACTTGGAAATACAGCATGTTGCCGAAAAGACTGTCAGACATGAAAATCAACCACAACCATAATAAACACCCATCTGACAGCAAAATAAATATTTCTTACCGTGACTCCACGTTTACCAATCAGGACACCATACTTTGGATAGTCTCCAATGGTTATCCATAATCCCGTTATCTCCCTTGCCATTATTTTTTTTATCCTTTTGCATTCAATGCAGTAAAGTTTTTAACCAACTTTTCCTTCACTGCTGGAGTTTTTTTTATTACTTTATCAGCCCAGAATTGCCTTGCAAATAGTACTGGAGCCCTCTATTGGTCATCTTCTTGGTGACAGAAATTATAAGTTTATCTATTACTAATAATGATTACTGCAACTAAGCAGAAAAATCAAAGACCAGAATCAAAACTATTATAATCTTAATTTATGCAACAGAGCCAACCTACGCCATGACGTCACAGGTTGTAGTACTGCAAGATGGCGGTGACCTTGCTACAAAAGCTATAACAAAACATTTTTTTATTGTAAATGCTTACATTTATTGTGTTTGTTAAATATAGTTTTTGATTGGAGTGGAACTCGATTTACTAAATAATGTTAACTTGACTGTCTGCTTCATTTCCACTTTAAGCAGTACCAAAACATACAGGCCTGGTATCACAGACAGGGCTTATATTAAGGCAAGATTAAGCCTTAGTTCAATTAGGACATTTAAGTAGTTTTTATAAATATGCCTTTGAAAAAAAAAACATTAGTGATGTGCATCGAGACAAACCAATGGCACTGACATAATTTAAGATATGCCAGTGTGAGTGACACCCGGGGGGACAGTCTTCCTTGATCAACGGCAATGGAATAATAAATGACTTCACACCATAAATGTATTTCCTCTGTGCATAAACAGCCCACTGTTGGTCAGTGCATACTTTCTTAAAGAAGTGGGTGCTTGCTTACAGAAAATAGCTAAATTCCAGTCACCCCACACGAAAAGATTACCCCTTCTTCCCCTCATGGTGGCCCCTCTATAAACACAAAATGACTCCTGTAGTCTAGCTACTCTGCCTCGTAAACTAGTGGGTGGAGCTTCAAGCAGCAAGTTTGCCCTTCAGTTGCAATTCCTCTAGATGATCCTGAATTATTTTTAGTTTCAACAAACAACATTAACAGGAACCCATTGTTAGGACAGGGATATCCCCCACTTTCCCTGGAGGTGCGCATCAAAGAATGGCACAGTTGTATGATGAATTGCAATTTGTAAATTGTGGATGGTCATTATGATCTCAGTGAGGGGAGTAAAAATGGTCCTAATTAATTATTTTACTAATGCCATTGCATAATCCCGTGGTTTGCTAAGTGACCATGTTTGGCTGGGGGCACTTTCAGTGGCCTGTAATGTATAATGGACATTTTATTAGCCACTTGGGGCTGCTGCGCCTCTCATCCATTTTACTGCAGAGAAGCCATGTTCAGAGCTGCTGATACTTCATTAGCAGGCTTTACTCTGCAGTCTGCCTATAGTGCTTGTATTACACTATAGTGCTGTATAGAGCTCTCACAATTCTCTTTCCCTCTCTTTTTAGCTGATTTTTCTCATTTCTCGTTACCTTTGCAGGCAGAAACCACATGGCAATTAGCAGACAAACTAAACTGTTTTGCAGGAAAAGGGGGGGAGGGCACACATCTTGAAGCGAATACAGTGCTTACAAACAATGCTTTTGTTTACTGCTTTTCACTTCTAGTGAAAATACTTTTTTTTTCTCCCGTCTGGTGTGTCCTTTAAAAATATTTAATGCAAAATTGAGTAGGCCTAGTTCATAAGCACCTTTTCTTGCTAACTCAAAGGTATTTCACCTCTCTCGAGAATTCAAGTGGCCAGTGCAATGATTTCTCATTTCCTGTCTGAGTCACAACACTTATGTCAGAGCACCAAAATGGTTATCTTAAAAGATATTCTCCTCATCAGATACTGTAACACTGTTCCCGGCAATCTAAAGGTGGTGTGGGATTGGAAATGCAATACGGTACATAAAATGAGCCTCATCTACCGTTTTACACACTGGAGGTTTATCTATTTGCTCTCTGATGTTTTTGAGGTTCATTAGCTTTCATCTTTATTTTTTTATATTCAGGGACAATTACTTGGGCATATTCGTATAATTAGAATGACTGTGCAACATGGATGAATGCTACTTTTATGTTAAGGAAGCTCTTAATCTGTGTGTAAACTCTCAAAGGTAGATTTTCTGGATTACCCAAAGTATAGTCCATAAATAGTGTTTACTGACTCTGGTGGGGAGCAACTTGACTGGCCTGCACAAAAACCTGACCTGAACCCTCATTGAACACCTCTCCAAGCTGTAGCAAAGTTAAAAAGCACACAGTTCACCAGAGTGCTATTGTATGACATAGCATTAAGATTTGTCCACACAGAAAATACTGGAATAACTAAACCCATTAATTATAAGTGAGTATGCAGTAGGGGTGTAACGGTACATAATAATGATGGTTCGGTACCTCGGTTTTGAAGTCACAGTTCAGTATGTCAACGGTACAGCAGGGGGAAAACAAACCCTGTTTTTTTAGTAATTTAACAATGTTTTACTGGACAAACTATGTCTGTCTTTACATAAAGTCTGTAGATATGGGAGGGGGTGTGGGAGATCAGCAGGAAAAAAAATCAGAAAACAGATGTCGCAATAGTGTTCAAGTGCGTGAATAGCGGTTGTCGCTCTGCCATTATAAAGAGGCAACAAACGCCAATTCCACTGAATCGTTCTTATTCAGACCATTGACTTGTCACCGTCTAAACAAGCCCGGCCCGGCAATAGAAGTGCCTTGCCATAGAAAAGTATATGGGGAGGGGGAATTTAAAGGTTTAAATAAGGGTATGACCAAATTAGTTTAAGAACCACTGCATTAGGGCAAGCTATGTAGGTTTATGACTTAGTTTGAAGTGCTTTATATAAAGCATGTCTCATGTTTAAGCAGTGTTGGGAAAGTTAACTTTCTACATGAACTAGTTCAAAGTTCCGTTCACAAATTTTAAAATGAACTAGTTCAGTTCATAGGTCATACTTCACAATTTTGAACTAAGTTCACGGTTCCAAAAAATTAACTAGTTCATAGTTCTTTTTTTCCATATGTTGCTGCGAGCTATTTTTTTTATTTATTTTTTTATTGCCACAACAACCACTACAGCAATTATTTTATCGGCGGGCAAAGTTTGCACAGAAATGTAAGATTTCTCCCATCCTCAACGACCTTGTCTTAAAACTGATCATACGATGCGACGCCTCCTCGATGCTTTGTCGACTACATGCTGCTTCTTGTCTTGATGACGCATGCGGCGGCCGCGGTGCGACACTGGTGGCTTGTGTTGCCAGATTGGGTGTTTTTTCGCTACATATTAAGGCCTGTTTACGTGTGTTTTCGCCGGGTTTTTACGCCTGGAAGGCTCTATAGAAATCTGGCACCCTATTGAACCAAGTTAAACTGAAAGAGCGTGCATTCACAGACACCAGAATGAACGAGTTCACAGTAACGTTCATCAGGCAGTAATATAGTACGTTCAGTTCACGTTCGCCCAAAATATGAACGAGTTCATGAACTATCGTTGAGTGTTTTATCGTTGAGTGTTCACTGTGTTTAAGACAACTTGTATCGTACACTTATCCGGCAGCAGATCACTCTTTGTCTTTAGTAATTTTTTCAGATGTGTTCGCAACATCAAAGTATATCAATATTAACGATATTGTTCCATCCTAGGGGGGAAACATGGAGTTTGAAATTAAGTTCCACACGCAGAGAAGTTCCGTACATGCAGCGGTTAAAACAACGCTATTTTTTCGCCACAAATGCATACCGAACCAAAAGGCCTGTTCTGAAAATGTTCAGTACAAATATGTGTACCGTTACACCCCGTATCCACATACATTCTGATGTCTGATGGCATTCATTATATATGAGCTCTAATGCTCTCGTATGATTTGGCATATCTCCTGGCGGGATTTTATAACACTATGTAGTATTGCTCCAGAATGGCAAATGTAACACTCCCTGATGCAAGTTCACTCTGCAGCTCCTTGAAACATAATAAGGTCGAGATCCCTCAAGATAATGTGCATAATGCATTTGATGGCAATGTTGCATTCTCTTCTTTAGTCAGATTTTAGAAATGTGCTATAAAAAATGCTAAACATTTGGATAGAATATCAGCAATAGTCTAAGCATGTCTTGATTTCATTGTGTTGATTCTGATAGCTACACTCTTTTATGCTTTTAGGTGATGCAAGACAAAATCATATGCCTGCCTCAAAGGACATTCTCACCAAACCAGACTGAGCTGATGTGCCCACCTCCTTCCACAAATCATGTAGCGATCGTGCCTGTCCATGAGTTGAAAGGACTGAAGACCAACTTGGATATTCAGCAGTATAACTACATAAACCAAATGTGTTACGAAAAGGCACTGCATTGGTATGCCAAGTACTTCCCTTACCTGGTTCTCATACATACCCTAATTTTCATGGTGTGCAGCAATTTCTGGTTCAAGTTTCCTGGCTCCAGCTCTAAAATTGAGCACTTCATATCCATCCTGGGAAAGTGTTTCGACTCTCCATGGACTACCAGAGCACTGTCAGAAGTGTCTGGGGAGAATCCTGAAGAGAAGGACAACAAGAAGAACAGTGCCAGTAGGTCAAACCTTGATACTCCGATTGGAGAGGGCAACCTGGAGAAGACTTCGTCTTTAAGATCAATACCTGAAAAGATTGTCGTTGACAAGCCAGCAGCAAGTGTCCTTGACAAGAAGGAAGGAGAACAAGCCAAAGCCTTGTTTGAGAAGGTCAAAAAATTCCGCCTGCATGTGGAGGAGGGTGATATATTATATATGATGTATGTCCGTCAGACTGTTGTAAAAGTGCTCAAGTTTATCCTTATAATTGCATACAACAGTGCTCTGGTGTCAAAGGTTAGGTTCAATGTTACCTGCACTGAGAACATGCAGGACATGACAGGTTACCGGTACTTCTGTTGCAATCATACTATGGCCCACTTGTTCTCAAAGCTCTCCTACTGTTATTTGTGTTTTGTTGGTGTTTATGGACTCACATGCCTTTATACATCTTACTGGCTGTTCTATATTTCTCTCAAGGAGTACTCCTTTGAATATGTTAGGCAAGAGACTGGAATTGATGACATCCCAGATGTAAAGAACGACTTTGCTTTCATGTTGCACATGATCGATCAGTATGATCCCCTATATTCCAAGAGATTTGCAGTGTTTCTGTCAGAGGTGAGCGAAAACAAGCTGAAACAGCTCAACCTTAACCACGAGTGGACAGCTGACAAGCTTCGGCAGAAGCTGCAAACCAACAGCAATAACAGGCTAGAACTTCAACTCTTCATGCTGTCTGGCCTCCCAGACACCATCTTTGAGGTGACAGAGCTGCAGTCTTTGAAGCTTGAGATCATTAATAATGTTACCATACCAGCAGCCATTGCCCAACTAGAGGATCTCCAGGAGCTTTCGCTTTACCAGTGCTCGCTCAAGATCCACAGTGCAGCAACCTCATTCCTCAAGGAGAACTTGAAGGTGCTACGAGTGAAGTTTGATGATGGCCGTGAACTTCCACATTGGTTGTATGTGTTGCGGAATTTGGAAGAGCTCCATCTGATTGGCTCTTTAAGTTCTGATGCGTCAAAGAACGTAACCTTGGACTCTTTACGAGAGCTCAAAGCACTGAAGACCCTGTCACTCAAGAGCAACTTCACCAAGATCCCTCAGTCCATCGTGGATGTGGCCAGCCATCTACAACGCCTCTGTATTTGCAATGATGGCACCAAGCTGGTCATGCTTAACAACCTGAAAAAGATGGTGAATCTAATAGAACTTGAGTTGGTGCACTGCGACCTCGAACGCATACCACATGCCATTTTCAGCCTGTCTAATCTGCAGATGTTGGATCTGAAGGAGAACAATCTACGCTCCATTGAAGAGATCCTCAGCTTTCAGCACCTCCGTAAGCTGACCAGTCTGAAGCTTTGGCACAACGGCATCACTTTTATACCTGAACACATCAAAAAACTCGGGAGCTTGGAGCGCCTCTACTTAAGCCATAACAAGATCGAGATCCTACCTTCACACTTGTTCCTCTGCAACAAACTGCGCTACCTCGATCTCTCCAACAACGACATCCGTTTTATTCCACCGGAGATAGGCGTTCTCCAGAGCCTTCAATACTTCTCTGTTAGTTGCAACAAAATTGAAAATATTCCTGATGAGCTCTTCTTCTGTAAGAAGCTCAAGACTCTGAAGCTTGGCAGAAACACGCTGTCTGTCCTTTCACCAAAGATTTCTTTCCTAAGTGTACTGACTCACTTGGAGTTAAAGGGTAATCACTTTGAGATCTTACCAGCTGAACTTGGCTCTTGTCGTGCCTTAAAGAGCAGTGGACTTGTTGTAGAAGACGTGCTGTTTGAGACTCTGCCTTCAGACATCAAGGAGCAAATGCAAGCAGAGTGATTGCTTAGCTTTAATGCCAAATGTTGTAATCTGACTCCTTAGGAGACAAGACTCCAGGTGTTACGTCCTGTAGTATGTATTGCGATCTATATGGGTGAGTACCTGCAATTTCATGTTTAAAGCTGGACTTGAGCTTAATGGTATTTTAATACAAAAAAAAAAAAAACATCGAAATATCTAGGGATGAACACCTTTTAATGCCTTATATTGTATATTATGAAAATGTAAAACAAATTTAAAAACTCTTTATCTTAATTTTCTAAGGTAATGTTTTTTGTTTTGTTTTGTTTTTTAAATCTAAGTCATAAAAGACAACTTACGACAGGGATTCATTTACAGACAGTGGCATGGCATGCAATTCCATTGTATGCTTTCACTGCTTATGACTGACATTTGCTTTCATAATCCATTAAGCTTTTACAGGTCAAGTACTGTACAACATGTTTTGCACTGGAAATGGCGATATTAGAATTTGCACTGGGAACTTTACCATTCCTTTCATTTTACGTTTTAATGTCTATGGACTTTGCAATGATTTGAAGTATATATGATAGGAAAATATACAGTTCATGTAATCATTCATACTAGTAGTGTTTTTTTTTTTCTTCCAGCATATTTACTCTTATAACTATAAAGCTTTTGGAGAGCAGTATCCTTGTGCATTTGTTTCTCAGGTAGACTTCACACGTTTTTCCTTGCATCGCTGTTTTAAGGTTAAACAAGTTTTACAGCTGTTGGTAGTGGATCCTGGGCAGATAAAGATAACCACATTGCATTATACATCTTATAAACTAGTGGTACCAGCTTCAACTGTCATATAGTTTTTTAAAGGGTTATGTATCCTGCTGTTTGCTTAGTTTAAACAATTACTCTGATTTGACTTCTCTAGTGCAAGACAGAATCCAGATGCAGAAGGGATTTCTATTACCTTAACTTGGCCTTTTGTACAAACATTTTTCTCATAAACCAACAATGTACTCTAATATTATACATTTTAATCATATTAGTCAACAGTATTTGTCCATCTTGTATTGTACGCTGTAATTGTAAATCTCATGCAAACTTAAGGAAAACATTTGTCAGAAACAAAGCTCTAAGATTATATGCAAATGCATTTTAAGAAATCTATTCTTTTATAATGTCCTTTATGCAAAAATAAATAAATAGTCAAAGATCTCTCAAGGTGCACCAAGACAAATCAGGTAGACTTTAGTTTCCTTAGTATTTTCTCTCAGATACTTGGAGATAGATTATGAGTGTCTTTAGGTCATGTACATGGCAATTACATTGTATTTGATCTGATATTGCCTTGAGAGCATGTGGCCTTTTTCTACAGACTGCCAGTTACATTGCCATCATAAAGAGGTATTGAATCCGTGTTTTACGTGTATTACCAGTGTCTTGGAATTCATACATCTTTAGGGGCTTTGAGAAGTTAAGACTGAATACTTGAGTTACATGGCCTTTTTTTTGTGTTTTTCATGTTGTATTTCAGTAATATTATCTACATGAATAGTTTGGATCATGCGTAGTAATTTGTTATTGTATTTTTTTTATTTATTTTTTTTAACAGTAGACCTGTCTATGGTTAGGAAGGTCAGTTGCTGTTTTGGTCTTGTGTCTGAATGTTAAAGGTTATAATGATGTGGATGCCAATGTGCAAATCTGTGCATAAAATGAAGGATGTTGTTTCTTGCCATTAGATATAAGTGCTGACATAATGCAGTGCTGACCATATGCCTTAGTTATTTTCCTGTTTTGTATAATTTGCATTCTACCAAAGTGTTTTTAATTTGTAAAACGGCATAAATAAAATGCATTTTCTTGTCCCTTGCGTTGAGTTGAGTTAATGTTTTGTAATTCTCAAGGGAGAGTTGTCACCCAGGTGGCAGTATTGTGCAGTAAATGCAACACAGAGTCTGTGCAATGTTTAAGGATAATTTGCTGACCTCAAATGCATACACACACCGGAAAGTCTGAAATGTTGCTGGCATTAAAAAAATGCAATTGCAAACAAGATGGCAATTTCAGAATTTAGATTTTTGCTGAGAGGGCAGTATGATGAGGACGACATTATTCGAATAAGTCTGGGTCTTATCTGTTTAAACACTGAAAATTAATCGTCAAATGGACAAAAAATCACATGCTAGTACATAATTTAAATAATCCCATGAATAGTGTAACATTATGCCTTCAGAATAATTTGTATGTGGGTGTTGTCTCCCATCATATCTCATGTTTCAGTCACATGATCAGCGGTGATGGATATGGCTATTGATAGCTGGATCATGGCATGGGAGAGGGAACATACTATAGCTTCAGCCACTTTCAAAGGCATTACCTCTGCCTTGCATATGGTTATTTGGTACAAATTATCATACATTTTCTGGTAAAAACAAACTCTTCTATTTTCTCTACAATTCTCCAAATTAGGCCAAGTTCTTTATGCATCAGCAGAGGGCAGCTTTAACACAATAGCTACAACTATAAGGAGACTAATATTGTTACAGCTTTCAGTTTTTATGTCTTCTAACTATGACTAAAGTGAACAGTGCATGCCTTTATTTAGAACACATCTTGTATAATTACCATCCTGAAACACAACACCATGAAAAGATCGGCAGGCGGCTAAGTACTTGCACCCTAAAATAGAGAGTACAACACTATTTTTCCAACAAGATGGGGATGTTTAACTCTTGCCTGATGCCTTATCACCACTTAGTATGCAGGATTCCATGGACCAAGGCTGCGTCCGAAATCGGATACTCTCTTGAGTAGGTACTTATTTTGAATAAGTACTTCACGACCACTAAAAAAGTATGTTCTATATTATATGAATGTAATCCGGACATACTACATTCTTCATGTTGCCCTTATCACGTGACCTACCAGCGTCTGTTGCGTCGCTTCACTGACATTCACAAATCCTCTCCCGTGGCCTCATGGGATGGTAAAGTGTCCATTGTATGCACAATTCAGAATCGCCCTGGCAGAAGTCATCCGGGTATTTCGAACATACTACTTTTGTTTTGTCACATACTGTTTTTCACCTACTTTATAGTAGGGCAGTATGTGATTTCGGATGCAGCCCAAATGTAGTAAGATCTCTAAGGGCCTTCAACCAGGGGGTCGCGACCCCTAAGGGGACCACTTCGGTACTGCTGGTAGTGAATCAATTATTATTATTAATATTATTAACTATTACTATTTCTATAGTTTTTAAGTGCAAAATAGAGCATGTTGCAATAGAAATGAGTAAGTTCGCCAATCTGTTGTCTGTGGAAAATTTTTGCAGGTCTGTGATTCGCGTTGCATTAAGGAGTGAGAAAGTTCTGCAGCGGACCTCAAGCCTTTATAAACTTGACAAGCTGATGACCCTGGACAGTGTGATCTTGAAAATTTACCCTGAAGAGAAGATGGCTCTCCGTTCAACCATGAAAAGGCAAGGTGCAGCAGCTAGTGGAGCTGTGAAGCAAAAGGACACTTGCAAAGTTGTGATTAGAGGAAAACTGATTTGCAAAATAAATAGCCTATTTACATAAAATACATTAATGCAAAATAAATAGGTATATATTCAAAATCTCTAAACATAACTTAAATCTTAATTGCTGTTCCACAGTCTATCTTTTTTCACAGACAGGTCTTAGACTGAGCCAGGACTAGGCCTTAGTTAAATTAGGACATTAAAGTAGCTTAAAAAACATTACTGGTGTGCATCTTGAGACAAAACAATGGCACTGACATATTTTAAGATATGTTAGTGCAAGTTGCTTTCAGTTACAACAGCTCAAACATGCATTTCAGTCTGGGACTAGCTTAAGCCTTGTCTGTGAAACTGGGCATTAAATTGTCATTTAAAGACGAGTCATCAAAGCTAAAGCCAAGTCAGTCTTTCACAGTATATTCTTCTGAAAAGGCAAGAGCTTGAGTGCCAAGAAATGTCCTCATACCCAGAATCTGCCTGCAGCACAAATTGGAATGTGGGATTCACCTTGTCACCCTCTGTTTCGATCAAACTCTGAGACTTAGATCTGTGATGTTTTCTGATATCTGTCTTTTGTCTCCATCTGTGTGTACGCAGGTGCTTAGTCAAACAAAACATCCACAACCACCTGCACTTTAACGCTTAATATGACCCACATCAAAGCTTCATGTGGAACTTAAATACAACCCCTCAGCAGGACCTGGCTGCAGTGGGTTGGGGGAGGCAAAGTCTCTTTAATCTTATTTGCAACTATATGGTACGTTTGTAAAACATAAAGGATTTCATTTACATAAACAACACAGAATGCATGCAAAGGCATGTATTTACCTGCATAAGGTGAGTTTTTCCCCCTATTATTCTGGTGTCTGGTAATAACAAGGCTTTCTATTCACTTCATGTTTAATTTGTTTAAAATAATATAATTGTATATTTTAAATATTATCTGTTCTATGCATCTAAGGTGACAAACTCAAAAAGTATACAGAGTTTAAATTAGCTGATATACCATAAACATTATGTTCAGCCACCTTTATTTTAGAACTATGCTTAATCTGTAACATAATCTCCGATGATATTTTTAATAATAATAAAATGTAAAAGTTTGGAATCTGCCACAAAAAATATCCCATAGAATCTTATGTCCCATTTACATAATAGGCTATAATTCACAGAATTGATAATTTTTCTGATGATTTAGACCCAATTTTGTAACACTATTCGTGGAAAGTGACTTCAACCTTTCAAGTGTAACAAACTGGGTTTGGTTGCTTAGTAACTTCAGAAAACCGGTCAGGTGTTTCGCGCGTAAATCCTCCCGTAAACTTTAGCTCCGCCCCCACACACTTCCTCTATTTGACAGCACATATGTGTTTATTACAGACATTTCTCATTTATATCGCACGCATGGACATAGTACAAGCTTTGGCGTTTTTTAAAATGACAGCTTTGGTTTGAGGTATGTATCAGCCTGTGAATGTGTGTTTGTGTGGGGTTTAAATGTGACGGATATGCAGTGTGGAGAACTGGTGCAGACTGGTTGATTCTGCTGCTGTGCGCGCGGCACTGAATGTACCATAATAATGAGATGAGCGGGGACCCTTACGTGTTCATTAAGCCCTCTCGGGTAAATGATTAGTAACTTGTCCTTTTGTACCGATACTTTTTCCGCTTTGACACAACAGTATCATCAGAGACCTCCAATGGTTTCCTGCCTGAGCGGTGTTAATCTGGACAGAACCACGAAGACGTGACAGGACACCGGATTGCGTTCACAGGGAATATTTCCAGCCCGTCCCTGTAAATCGCGTTGTGCTCGCAGTTTACGTGTCATTGGAAAATAAAGCCTTTGTCGTTTACATATCGTGACCCGGCATAGAAACACAATGGCGTGACGTCTCCCATGCGAACGGACAGTCCCCATTACTGCAAGGACAAGTGGATGAAATGTGTTTCAGATTCTCAGGAATTAAAGTGGTGATGGATGACGTTTGATGACGTTTATATGAGACAGTAAGTATAAACGTTATGTTAAGCATGCATTTCTGAAATATTACAATTAGTCGAGTATCTTGTCTTAAGGTTGTGTTAGTGGAGGTTGTCAGAGTAGTTCAGAGCACATAAAGCAATATGTTTTGGCCACTTTTGGATGAGACTGAACAAATTGTACAGTTGCACAAGCTAATATTACATTATATGGATTTCAGGTCTCTTATAAGAAGTTACCATGTGCAATCTCTACATAATACTCATTACATAATTTGTTTTATTATATTGTACACTTATTTTTGCCAATTGCCAAAAGGTTATCCAGCAGGACTACAGTTGTGCTTGACAGCAAATGTTGTCGAGTCAGTGTTAATTTTTTTTTTAAAAAGTGTGAATTTATCCTGTTTGGTTTAGATTTACTAGTTTCTTTTGCTGTCTTTTTGAGACATAGCCTATTTGTTGATATCAAATTGCCATATTTATGAGCAGAAGATATTCATTATTTTTGAATGAACTTGATTCTATTCTAGATTAATTGATTCTTACACTTGACTTGGCAGATGTGAACATATAGTCAAATTAAGTTTCAGCCTTTCATCCTTTTTTTTCTACACATATGCATACAAACTATGTTTGCTTCTATTTAATTGCCACATAAGCCTTTTTGGTGTGGGTCATATTTAGCGTTAAATACATACACTATTGCACAACACTTTATTTTAACTCACTGAACTACAGCAACCTGTACATATGTGTGTGTGTGTGTGTGTGTATATATATATATATATATATATATATATATATAGGCTATATATATATATATATATATAGGTCATAAATGGATACTCCAACACTGAAATGTGCAGGATAACATGAAAAGACATGATTGGTTTGTAGCATTGTCATTTAAAATTTCAGTTTGAGACACAGCAAATGAAAATAACAGCGGCAGCCATGACCTAGTTACGGGGTAAAAGCTCAGACGGAGGTTAAATAAGGCTAGCCATGATGGCAATTGTGTTTTTGGTGGATTAGGGTTGTGTTACCGAGGTGAGGTTAAAAACTGAGGCTTCTTATCACCATAGACTGGTAAAAAATTAGTGAAGGCCCACAATTAATTATGCATTTCTGATTTATTAGTCCAAATCTATTGGCTCATCCAAAATGATCCATACTGATTGGATAGTAATGAAGAGTAATGTTATATTTTCAAGGAATGTTCTGAAATAAGGAATTATTTAGACTATTTTCAAATAAGTAAATTAAATGTTATTTTTACTTTGTTTTAGAAAACAATTAATTCATTTTCAGATGAAAGCATTTGTTTACCTCAAATTGTCTTTAAAAATGAAGTGAGCAATTTCTGTCTCATCCTGAACTCAGAATAATGGTTAAGATTATCACAGCTGTTTTGTAGGTGCCACAGAGCCTTTAGCCTTAAGTTTTTGGGAAGTCAACTTATAAGTAATTTCTATTTAATTGTTGTGGTTAAGGTTAGAGTATGTAAAGTTCACTGGTGTGTTGTTGAGCATGTTGAATGATGAGAGTAGTTAAGGAAATTGACAATTGCTTGTTGGATCTGTACCAGTGATAAGGCTATATTACGTTTCCTGTCTGAATGCAAGTATAGTGACAATAGTCTGATATATAATCATAATAGTCTTATATATAATATATTACTGCATTTCTGATGTGGAACAGAAAAGACCTAATGTAGACTCTTCAAAAAAAATTTAAAATAAGCAAAAAACAACAAAAAAACAAGCCTTCTTAACTTCTCAGCTCATAGGGTTAGTGTGCGTAACCTTCCCAGCTGTAGATCTTGGGAACTGGTGTATAGCAACTTATTTTGGGTAAGCAGTGGGAAAAGCAATTCTCAGATGTTCTCTGAAGTCTTGTTGAGCCTTACTTTGCCAGTCTTTGAGCATTAAATTTATTAGGTGACTCGATATTTTTCACTGTCTCGCTGGTGGCTGTGGTCTCAATTTCTCCTTTATTTGATAGACTTATAAGGATTGACTCTACAGATGTTCACACTTGTAATTAAAATGACAAATCTGCCAAAATAGATCAACATATTGGAATATCCAGCCAGAATTTGGGTTTTTGATTTGAATGCACTGTACCTCTATGCTGTCATATAATATATGCATCAGTACATAATTATGTTGTGTCTCATGTCACAAATCATGTGTGTTTTTTTTTAACCCAAGGCAACACACGAAAGAAAGTAATAATTGTTGTTTACGGCAATCTGACTTGACTAAATAAGCTATTGTGTAATTGCACTAAATTAGAGACTAATTAGAGGAAAATACATGGTGAGGACTTTTGAATTTACAGCTAACTGAAGCTTGGATTGGATTGCACCCCAGAGCTCATCCTGTCCGATTTTAGGGAAAAATCGGGTCTATTGGAGACGTCAAATAGATTTTTAGGCGTGTCGAAAGATCACGACAGACACAGTACAATCCATATGGGATAATCTCATATAACAAGCAGCTGTATAAAATATGATACACCAGTGTTTTGCCAGTTTATCTCTTTTAATTATTTGTATCTGTATCCACTGTACGTCCGACTGACTGCACTGTATTCTTCCTTTTGATTCTAAACTGAACTCAAATGGCACTGGGAATTGGGTAAGAGAGAAACATAAACCACTTAATTGGGGAAATTGAAAGATGAAACAATGCTGATGACCTGGGTCTGTGGTGGACTAGTGAGTTTGATGTGTCAATTAAAGCAGCACTAAGTAGGAATTCCGTTTTTGTCAAACAGCGACCCCTAGAGTCGCTGTGGAGTACTTGTACTGTTGTGAATAGCACTCACGCAGAGATGGCTCGCACTCACGGCCGGATCCCCTCCCCCTGTACACCGGTACCTGTTCAGTAGGATGGACGATGTAACGAGTGGAAATAAGGTATGGCCCCTTTAAGAGCTGCGCGCGCCCAACACCACATGTATACGGCGCCGGGTTATTTCAGTTTGATGCTCATTTTATCAGAATTTTATCAGATCTGTTTTTTTGCCGTAAAGCAATTAGTTACCTCGCGAGACCTGATATCACACGATACTTCCTAACACGATACTTCCTAATGTATACGGCGCCGGGTTATTTCAGTTTGATGCTCATTTTATCAGAATTTTATCAGATCTGTTTTTTTGCCGTAAAGCAATTAGTTACCTCGCGAGACCTGATATCACACGATACTTCCTAACACTGAGGCCGGCGGCTCGCCGGCCCAAAGTTGCAAGGGTGGTTTTGCGGCTCACAGGCACCAGGGGGGTGCGAGAAGACCACCATTCAACACGAAATCAGTAATATAAACATTACAATGACTCCAAAGCTGTTCGGTTAAGGTAAAAAAGTTACTTAGTTCACCTTTAAACTCGAGGTTCTGTGGGGTGCGGATTGGATCGACTCGAACATACTTTTTTAGTGGTCGACTCAATTTTTTTTTTTTTGGGGTGCGGGACTGCGGACTGATGGGGCAGTGAATCAGCCCTAGAGCTCCTCCTGTCCGATTTTAGGGTAAAATCAGGTCCATCAGAGACGTCCAATGGAATTCTTAGGCGCGCTGAATAAACACCACAGATACCATGTAAGAGGAAAAAAAAACTATATGCAAAATAAGATACACTGTGTTTTGCCAGATGAGAAGTTTATTCTATGTATTCTATCTTTTTACTACTTTAATTAATTTTACTCTAATTAATTTTATAACTGTATCATTTATCTCTTTGAATTCCTTTTATAACTGTTTTAACTTACCTTGCTTTTATTTTGTGCTTATTTTCTATGCAAAGCAGCACTTTGAATTGCCATAGTGTGATATTTTAATTCCTTTCTATGTAAAGCATTTTGAATAACTTAATTTTCTTTGCTTTTATTTTGTGATTTATTTTTATTCCTTTCTATGTAAAGCACTTTGAATTGCAATAGTGTATGAAATGTGCTATATAAATAAACTTGCCTTGCCTTGCCTTTAAAGATGTTCATCTGTGACACACACTGAATTTGCATGTTAATTGACTGAACTGAAATACAAAATATAATGTATTTTAATCTTAAACAGTTTTCTTATCCTTCTTAAATTCTTACATCTTCCTTACAGTTGACATGTTGACATCAAAGCCTGTGTAAGGCTTGAACGAAAGATCTGTAGGACAGGCAAAGCACAAGAACAAAGTGCTTGTGACTTGAATAGTTGGTGTGATGAATGGAAGGAATGTGATTGTCTTGTGAAGCAAGTCTAGACTTTGTTTTATTAGTAGACCATAGAGGCTGTAAATTAAGTGCTTAAGGCCTCATGGTAGAAAAATTAAAAGTTTTAAGTAATACTACATGTAATCTGATAACACTGTTTCAATGAGAATAACTCAATCGTCCGGCAATGAATTCATCTCACTCAAAACATTGACATTTATAATTTATATAAATAACAGCTTGATTAGCCAAGTGAAAAAGTTAATTAATCATTATGACATTCAGTCAATTGTTTTTGACAGTGAGAAGGTCATTCGGTTTTGCCTATTGGATGTTTATGGTTATGTCTTAGCAATGTGAAAGTCGAGCTCCACTCATCAATATTACCCCTGCAAAATGCATGTATGCTAGAGCAGTCTTGCAACTTGATATTAAAGACAATATTGTCTTTGGCAAGACTCACCACTGCAGTACTATTGTCTTCATGCAGTACAGCATGGACCCACTAAGGCTGATAATCTAATAAGGATGTCTAATGCTGTGCTTTAGTGCCTCAGCACTGATCAAGCTCTGTGCTGAGGAAAGTGATACAGGGCAGAGACACTAGGGTGTCTCCCTAAGCGATGGGACCATTTGTTATCTTTAGTGGTGTATTAGGCCACTCCTTATATTTGTACATTGATTTAATGGAATTTGAGATTGAGACTTATGTTGTGTCAAGCCTGTATTTCACATAGAAATGAGCGTAACATTGAAACACTTGATTTGTTTATTCAAGTCATAGTAGCCTTAAAATGTTTTTGTTTTTTTACATTTACAAAATGTACTTTTTAAATGTTTAATATGTGTATACTCACATTCAAGGTATTCAAAGCCACATTCGAAGCCATAAGAAATCAGCATTAATACACAGAGTTTATAAAATGCTGATTTCATGTGTTTTTAACTAGATTTTTTAAAGATTTGTCATTCATGGAAAGGATTTGTCATTTTTAATGGACACTCTTATTTGTCATTGATAATACTATTTACTACATACTTGTTTTTATGTTTTCATGTAGGAATGTTTACCCTCACAGAAGTTGCCTCTCTAAATGACATCCAGCCAACTTATCGGATACTGAAACCATGGTGGGACGTCTTTATGGATTACCTGGGTGTGGTCATGCTTATGCTGGCCATATTTGCCGGGACCATGCAGTTAACCAAAGATCAGGTGGTTTGTCTTCCTGTTCTGGAATCGCTGGAGGACCGAACCCCTGTGCCCACGGAAAGGACACCAGAGAAAGCTCTTGGCTCAGGGACAGGAGGAGGCCATGTGACATTAGCAGCTGCACCTATCGCAAGCAAAGAACAAACCGACAGTGTTGTCCAACGCTTCCCACAGTCGTCTGCTGTCAGGCAACCTCAGCCTACGGGTTTACGAACAAATCTGGATTTTCAGCAGTATGTATTTGTTAATCAGATGTGCTACCATGTTGCACTCCCATGGTATTCAAAGTACTTTCCATATCTAGCTCTCATTCACACTATTGTTCTTATGGTAAGCAGTAACTTTTGGTTCAAGTATCCAAAGACCAGTTCCAAAATTGAGCATTTTGTGTCTATTTTGGGGAAGTGTTTTGAGTCCCCTTGGACAACCAAGGCATTGTCTGAGACAGCCTGTGAAGACTCAGAAGAGAATAAGCAGAGATTGACTGGAGCCTCCACATTACCAAAGCATTTTTCAACCAGCAGTGAAGAGGGAAGTCCAAATCAGTCCACACCCATGCTTGTAAAATCTAGCATTAAGTTTTCTACAGAGAAGCCAGTCATCGAAGTTCCAAGCATGACTATACTTGATAAGAAAGATGGAGAGCAAGCTAAAGCACTTTTTGAGAAAGTGAGGAAATTCCGCACACATGTCGAAGATAGTGACTTGATCTACAAACTTTATGTTGCTCAGACTATAATTAAAACTGTCAAATTCATTCTGATTCTGTGTTACACCATGACCTTTGTCACCTCCATTAAATTCGACCATGATTGTGAGCCAGAGATTAAGCATTTAACTGGATACTCCAAATTTAAGTGCACCCACAACATGGCTTTCATGTTGAAAAAGCTTCTCGTTAGCTACATTGTCCTCATTTTTGTTTATGGCTTGGTTTGCATTTACACTCTTTTTTGGCTGTTTAGACGGCCTCTTAAGGAGTATTCCTTTGAAAAAGTTCGAGAAGAAAGCAGTTTTAGTGATATCCCAGATGTGAAGAATGACTTTGCTTTCCTCCTCCACATGGTGGACCAGTATGACCAGTTGTACTCGAAACGTTTTGGTGTCTTTCTCTCAGAGGTAAGTGAGAACAAACTGCGGGAAATAAGCTTAAACCACGAGTGGACCTTTGAGAAACTACGGCAACACGTGACTCGTAATGCACAGGATAAGCTTGAGCTGCATCTTTTCATGCTCTCAGGTGTTCCTGATGTTGTCTTTGAGCTGACTGATTTAGAGGTCCTGAAATTAGAACTCATTCCAGAAGCACGTATCACAGCAAAAATTTCCCAGATGATCAATCTTCACGAGTTGCACTTTTACCACTGCCCCGCCAAAGTCGAACAGACTGCATTCAGTTTCCTCCGCGATCACCTCCGGTGCCTTCACGTCAAGTTTACGGATGTAGCAGAAATTCCCACTTGGGTTTACATGCTGAAGAACCTGAGAGAGCTCTACTTGGTGGGAAACTTGAACTCCGAGAATAACAAAATGATAGGATTAGATTCCCTCAGGGACTTGAGGCATCTAAAGATCCTACATCTGAAGAGCAACCTTACCAAGATCCCAACTAACATTACGGACTTATCACCCCACCTGATCAAACTTGTGGTTCACAACGATGGTACTAAACTATTGGTGTTAAATAGTTTGAAAAAGATGATGAATCTTGCTGAGCTGGAGCTGCACAATTGTGAGCTGGAGAGGATTCCGCATGCAATTTTTAGTTTGACCAACCTGCAGGAGTTGGACTTGAAATCGAACAATATCCGTACCATTGAAGAGGTCATCAGCTTCCAGCACCTCAAAAGGCTTAACTGCCTCAAACTGTGGCACAATAAAATAATTTCCATTCCACTGTCCATTAGTCACGTAAAAAACCTAGAGTTCCTCTATCTGTCACATAACAAACTTGAGACCTTGCCTACCACTCTATTCAATCTTCTCAAACTGAGATACCTGGATGTTAGTAACAACTCCATCGTAGTGATTCCTCCAGAGGTGGGGTTTCTCCAAAATCTACAGCACTTTGCCATCACTGGAAACAAGGTGGAAGTGGTGCCCAAGCAGCTGTTCAAATGCACAAAGTTGCGTACCCTATCCCTTGGACACAACTGCATCTCGTCGCTACCAGAGAAAATCGGACAGTTGCTGCAGCTGACTCATCTTGAGCTGAAGGGGAACTGCCTGGATCGCCTACCCGCACAGCTTGGCCAGTGCCGACTCTTGCGCCGAAATGGTCTCATTGTGGAGGACCACCTTTTTGATTCACTGCCCCTAGAGGTCAAAGAGAGCATAAGTCAGGAAATCACTGCTACTTTTGCTAATGGGGTGTGATTGTGAATCGGGAAGAAATGTTTAGACCTAAAGCCCAATCATGGTTTTCTAAGTGGAACGGAATTAGAGAGCCCAAGAGGCAATGTTTCAATACTTCTGTTTATTTTTTTAAGGCTGCTTCTTCTTTCTTTCTTTTTTTAATTGAAATAAATTTTATCCAGGACTGCTGGCATGAATGGATGTTCCAGGTGTAAAGAATGAGTCCAGTATCAAAGCTTTTGTTAACATTTATTATAATTTCTGCACAGGCCAAAACAAATTGCCATTAAGCCAATATAAACCTTTTTGGACAGTGCATAGAATTCTTAAGAATTATTTAAATCTTTTAGATTATTATGCCTGTTTGCATGGGTTTTTCTTCTTCTTTATTATCATTATTTTTATTATTTGCCCATGTTACAGTGTAGATATAATTCAGATCATTTTTGTCTCTGTTACTTTCCATTATCATTTCTGTTAATTGTTTTCACCATCTGTTTTCCACACAGTCTGCATCACATGCATTGTGCATTGTGGTGCCATTAACGATTGTATCCATTGTTAGGAAGAACCCAGTACAACTGACGTTTATTACACAGTTAATCACAACTACTGTATTTGAGTATAAGTGGTAAAAGAGTCTACCTGGAATTCCTTAAAAAGAAATTCTCATTTGAGTATAAAGTAATTTAAGATGAGAACTGAATGTTTGCATTGATACAAAATTGCCATATTCATCTAGCTCAATCAAACTGTATATTTTATACTTTAGTTACAGTCTGTTCCATCTTTCTGTAATGAGTTTGTGTCCACCTATTCAATTACTATTAAACAAACTATTTTGAACTGTAATAACAATGTTCAGCATTGAAAATGCATCGATGCTTTTGCAGCAACATGTAATTTGGATTTGATGATGTACAAACTAAAGGTAATAATGTGCATTGCAATGCAAGTCTTGGCAACTAAATAGTCTTGCCCTGCTAACATCTTTTTATGTGGCCTAGAGAAGTAATGCATACGTTACAGTGACCTCGTTTGACTTGTGCATGTTTTGTATATAACACTATATTATGATGGGACAGACCTGTAATGTGTACACTGCATGGTCCTTGCTGCTCAAAAACTCCCAATAGACATGCATAGTAGTAAACTTGCCCTGATATATATTCTAAAGTCATATCTTAGTCAGTAAATGTGTACGACTACCATCTGCTTAACTGTTAGCCCTTACTGGCTAGTAAAAGTAACGGAAATGCTTGCATTGTGTGAATCAGTGTTTAAAGTTACCTTGCAATTGACATTCTCTGTGCTGTGAATGCCCATGCAGTCAACTTTTGAGGCAAATGCACAAAAAGGGGACTTGTCAGATGTTAGGTCCCGATATTCACTCCAGTGATTGAATTTCCTATCCTGAACCTTTGTTGATTTGTTAAAGTTTTCTTGATAAAGTAACACATCTGTCATGTAGAAATGATTGAAACATGATCAAGATATAAAGGGATAGTTCAATCAAAAATAAATATGGTTATCATTTACTCACCTTAATGTCATTCCAGACAACCTATATTACTTTATTTATTCTGTGGAACATAAAAAGTAGTTGAGAGTTGTTTGGACCCCTTGACATGAGGGTAAATGATGACAGAATTACATTTTTTTGGTAAACTATACCTTTAAGAAAAATGGTTTCACTGTTGGACCTTTAGGGCCGTTACATAGTCAACGCGAGCAACGCGAGCAAGCAACGCGAGCGACGCGAGCTACGCGCTCCTTTTCATAGTACACAAGCGTCACCGGCGATGCGTGAAATGCAATACACCGATTGCGCAGCAGGGGGTAGTAGAGTCTAGAGTCGGGTCACGTAAAATTCAGATCAAAATGGCAACTGAAGAGGAGTGCATATTGCTGATTTTACATCGGCGGCAACAAAGGATGTATACGAACAAGCTCGCATAACTTTTCCTCTTCGCCCGCTATTGTATTCAAATCTTCTTCTTCTGTAAACATAATAATATACCTTTTTATGTACATTACTTGCAATGTCGCCCCCACCGACAACGCATAGTAATGCGTGCATCGGCGCGTCGCGTATCAAAAACTAGGACGACACATTTGGCTACGCATCGACGCATAATGGCGGCCGAAGCGTAGCGATGTGTAGCCTTGCGCACGCGTATGCGTACCGATGCGTTGACTATGTAAGGGCCCTTAAAATGGTTTCACTGTTGCACCCAAATATTCCTTAACCATTTTCTATGTTTAAACCATTGATTTGTGAAGAGGAGGTGCAACTATGTGCTCAATCTGTTGAAACAAAATTTATTGACGAACAAAATGTTGACAACAGATTAAGTGGTGTTTGCTTCAAGCCATTCAGTTGTTAATGAGAGATTTCAATTGATTTGAACATGAATTGAATAATTTGGAATAAAGTTCATTGTGTTTTCGTTATTTTAAAACCAAACCAAACCAAAAGGAGTTCAAAAGGACACAAACTTCACATTTTTTTATTTTTTGTCCTATTCACATTTCAAAGAAGACTTGTCCAGTTTTCTGGAATCATTCTTCCCACACTGTGTTATATTTGTCCCTCTGAAATGCTGCAGGGTCTGATCTGTAATTGGTATCTTTTTGACCCCTCAAGAATCTTCAGACTTGTTGATGTCTTGCCAGATGAGGCTTGAAAATCATTTTTGATACATGTGTGACTAACAATAATCATAACCACATGTGAATCTAAAGATGGGTTTCAATGTTTTGCGTGAGTTGAAATTAGATTACTTTGTAGGTTTTGTAAAATGTAACTATATTGCACTGTTAAAATGGTTCTGTTTGATGTTTTGAATGAATGTTTGTTTTCATTTATGTAGAGATTTATTAATGTATGTTCCATTTCTATAGCCTACAAAAAGTTTAACTTTGAAATACCTGATTTCAAATGATTCCATCAAAACATATACATTGTGTCCATTCAGGTACACTTATTGTTCATTTCAACTGAGTACTTATTTTCAGAATTTTATTTTTCAGCAAGCTACTTTAAGCTACTCTTCAGTCTTGAATGTAGCCTGATACTGCATCCCTTCATGGTTTAGCCTTTCTGTTCTTGATGGAAAGGAGAGTGAAGTTAGTCTGCTTTGCTCCTAATCAGAGATGTTTTGTTTTAAAGGACGTTCAATTTGCAACTTGCAATTTTTAATATAATAAATACATTGAAAATAAATACATTGGTGTCTGTGCTGTTTGAAACGTTTAAATGTGAATTACAACTTAAAGAAAGTAGAACCCATATGTATACGAGGAGGTAAAGCCAAGACCCAAAGTTAAAATTTTCTAATAAATACAGGACCTCACTATCAAAACGTACAGGAACAAATTCAGTTAGGTGTATCTTTGTGGGGGACTTTTATACTGTACAAACTGTATATTCTATACAACTTTTTGCATGTTTACATTTTCAAATAAGCATCATTTAGGTTATCTAGGTCACCTACAGGTTAAACAAGTATGTTTTTGGACAGCCGAATCATTGCACAGTCGTTTAGCTCCCTCTAGAGGTGAAAAACAATAACGTCTTTGTTACAAACATTGTTTTGTTGCTCTTTGCAAAAATAAAAAATGTTTGATAACAAGATGAATACTATTTTATGAATTAATTAATAATATGAATACATTTTATGAATATATTTTTGTGAATAATCTAATGAAGCAGAGGCTAATAGCCAACAGGGCGGAATTTGGTGGGCCTGAAGTTCTCGAATTGGTTATGTAGGCCTACCTTATATTAACATTTTCTCACATTTAACTGTTTTGTTAATCTGTGATGGGTGTAAATTATTGTCCATGCAGCGTCTAGGGAGGGTGAGCTAACTCCATCCATACGGTTGTCACGTGGTAACAGTAACCTTTCACAGCGCTGCTCAGGTGTGATTACTGAAAAAGTCCTGTATTTAATCATTTTATAGAGATTTCTAAGGCAGTTTTACATGTATAAATTCTATTTTACCTTTATTATATTGCAAGTCTGTATCAATCCGCACATTTAGAAGATTAAAATAAGTAGGCCTATAATATGTTTTATAAAATGTGAATGAGGCCTTCACCACAGCCGGCAGTCTCAAATCTGTTTGTGAACGACAAGCGCCCTCTAGAGGAAGACAACTTGAAATGGTTATGAAGTAGTAGCGTTGTTGAAAAAAATAAAACAGTCTCAAAGTTGCCTGACACTGTTGTTTAGTTTGTTTCCAGGGGGAAATGATTTCAGTGACACCTGCTTTAATTTAGCGCAGTAGGACTGATTGACCCTCGTTTATGTGGTAAGTGTGCATTTGAAAATAACGTTGCTTTCGTTAAAAATAAAATAATAATAAATAATTGAAACGAAAGGATTCGTACGTTTTAAATTGGGACCGGGCTCAGTATTTACGGTGGCTTGCACATGTATTTAGAACTTTAACTAAGGTATTTGTATTCAATTACTAAATGGAATGCCTTTGGTTTCCAAGTATATGTTTGAGAAAGTTTAGCAATAGCCTGAGTTGGCCAAGAAACACAATCTAACATTTCACACACACCACAAAACACATTCTGCTCAAATAGAAGAAAGAAGTAATGGTGCAAAATGCATGGGCCAGTTTCAGTCGATCTGACAAGTAAAGAGGACCAAGGGCAAATCTGAATCTTATGGAAGTTTACCCTGCTCAATCATTATTTATGGCCCATTTAAAAAAACAAAAATATATTGAATTAAAAGCTTACATTTTTTTAGAGGTAACACAATCCCCTGCTTAGGCTAATTGACAGTAGCAGTCAGCTAATATGCTGTGTCTTCCTGCTGGTAATAATCTATATTTAAGCAGGTCTTTAATTATAACATTATACAATCTGTTTTAAAGGACTTATGATAAAGAAGAAATGTTCCCGTCTTCAGCTGAAAATCCAGGTAATGACATAAATCTCTCATTCTTATGTTGCTATAATGTTATACAGCTGTCTCGTATTTATTGTTTCTGAATGAGGTACATTCTCGAATAATCACTTTCACTTGTCAAATGTCCAGGGAAATGCTACAGTCAGCCATTATTTGGATCGTTTGCATCCTCTGAGTCCTTTGAGACCAATAGCTCTGACAGGTAAGAACTGTCAGAAGATTTTCCTTGTGCTTTTCTTAGCAGGCAATAGAAATCGCTTTCCTAGATAAACTGTTGAAGATCTTTTTTTTTTTTTTAAATGCTTAAAAATTATAAACAAAAAGGTTTGAAAAACTTAATTAAAAAAATAAATACTATAAATAAATAATTTAAAATTTAAAATTAAACATTTTAAATATATATAAATATATAGTAAAAAAAAAAAAAAACATATACATATTGTAATGTGCTACCATTTGTTTTGTCCTCAGATATGGTGCCTGTGAGTCTTTTGAACATAGGGCCTTGAGCACTGAAGATGCAGATAGCGTTTTTGATCATTCTAATGGAGGGTACAGTGACTCCTGTTCATCCACCTGGGCTGCAGACCTCTTGTCAAACTGGGAAATGCCCTATGCCATGTCTTCCCAGAGGTCCAGGTCTCCATTTTCAGACAGCGGCAGAGAGAGTCAATACTCCACTTCCAATCTCTCTGATTCCTCCAGCCTGTACTCCCCCTCACACTCTCGGCCAGCGCCGATTGGCTCACGGGGCAGAGACATGCACCCATACGTGCACAGAAACTACCGGGGGAGAGGTGCTGTCGTACCTGAGGCTGAAGGACAAGGTGTAAGGGTACGCCTGGTGTCTAGTTTATCATTTGAACAAAATCAATGACATTTAATGTTGAATTGTGTCTCTTCTCTTCTGCAGTGCTCAAGTCAGAACCCATCTATTTGCATAGAAAGATACCACTCAACATCAGCTGCTCTAGTGTTTCGAGGGACCAAGAGGAAGATGATGGAACCAGTGCCTCCTTGCAAGTTGGTTAAAAAAAAGAGGATAGTCAAAGCAGGTCCCAGCATCAGCAGCATTGTGGGTATGTGATGTGCAGCATTGTGGGTATGTGATGTGCTGCTTTGATAGACCAAACATGGTTTAAAAAATGGCAAAACAAAGTTTCCACTGCTAAATTGTTGCACGTTCTTTACTGTAATTTTCACAAATGCTGCTTTGCGTTGATGCTTATGATGCTTTACTTTGTTTACTTTTCTTAGGACCACACATTTCAAAGGTAAGAATCTACAATCAAAGGTGCCTTATAGAATCAGTCCTGTGATACTACAGTTTTTATTTTCCACAGGACCGTTGCTTTTCTTCCAATAGCAAGCAAAAAATTGGAGAGCATGGTAAATAACAGATTTAATATTTTCACTGTTTATTATATTGGGGGGGGGGGAGTTGTTTCTAACACTATAATTTAATGCAAGCATGGGTTAATATTTGTGTGCAGACCTTGGTAAAAAAGTTCGAACCAGAGAGAAGCGCAGAAGGCGACGAGAGAAGAATCATGAAAAATATGGAGATAAGCACAGGTGAACACTGACATTTCAAGTGAGGCATCACTTGTTTTTAACCCGCATCTACATTCATTGGTTGTATATTAATTAAATTATTCAAATATATAAAAATATATATAAAAAAACATATTTATTATTTGAGGTAGGACTTGAGGATTTCTGCTGTATTCTTTTTGGAGGCAGTGAAATGTTGAATTGTGTACAGTGAAATCTGTAGAAAGGCTAAAGAATTTAAATTCACTTGCTAATACAAAATAGTTCAAATTGTACATTAACATTAGTAGTTATACAAATACATAACATTTCAAGGTAAATACAAATTTATGTCAGCTTAGTGTTCACAATGTGTGTTTTTTTTAGGTTGGCTTTTACATGTGCTTTTTGTAAATTCCACACGTTTGAAGACAAAGACATTGAGAAACACTTTGGAAGCACGCATCACAGAGAGACTCTTGACTATATAAGACGGCAAGCCAAATTTGATGACAAGGTCATCAATTTTTTGCATGTAAGACTTTTAAAATATATTTTTTTAATTGTTTGAGGTTTTTGTATGGATTTGTATTATAGTTGTTGATGTACATTTACCCTGTTTTAATATTGCACAGGATTGCATGGTTCACAAATTTCATAAAACTGTCTCTACTCTACACAAACTAAAGTTTTCCTGTGGACGAAGCAAAGATGAGTGGGTGAAAATAATGGAAGGTATGACGTAACGTTATAAATACGCGTAATATGAAATGAATAAATGCATTGTATTATATTGTAAAATATATTGCAACGCATACAGGTATTTTCCCCCACTTGATGAAAATAGGCTTTATTAGCTAACTACAAAGATGATTATTAACACTTTATTCAAACTTCATAATCTTACAGGGGTGACAGAAGATGATTACATGAGAAGGATGGAGGTGGTTTACTGTGTTGCATGTGACAGTCACATTCCTGTGGTTTTCAGCTCTGTACAGCAACATCTTCATTCACTCACTCACCTCAAGAGCAAAATGGTAAGGTATCTCTGTTCTGTCTCTTCTTAATATCCCGAACCTTCGTGTTTATTCATATATATGCATATACTGTTGTATTCTCCTCTTGTGTTTTTGACCTACCTGAGCTACTGTTTGCGCACCAATCCTCGGCATGCTCTCATTTAGTTTCAATATGGATGGTATCCAACAAAAAAACGTACATACATATATATATATATTACATAACTTACGTATATATTAACATACACACACTCCTGGGCAAAAAAAAACAAACAAAAACTTTTGATTGTCTTAACCACAAATTATTGTTCAGAAAATTAGCAAAATTTAAGCAAATGCACTACTTAAAAAGCAACTGCATCAAAGACAGAATAAAGTTTTTTGGCAGAATATGGGAAGTTGTGTGTGGAGTGATGAATCACAATGAAACACGAGTTGCATTGTGATGCTCTAGAGCGGTGTCTTCAAAAATCTGCTGAGAAATGTTATAATAAATGCATCTCTACCACAGTAAAGCACAGAGGAAAGAGGTGTCATTGTGTGGCGAGCCTTTTTAGCTGCTGGAATTGGTGATCTACTTCACTGTGAAAAGTCATTTAATGCTCACAGAAAGTAGTACCGGTAAGCTAAAAAAAAATCTGACATTAAACTCAAACAAACTGGGAGACATTTTTCAACTACTTGAAGCCATTAACATTGAGTGGAACAACACTGACTATTCTTCTGGTAAAAAGCTGTCTGCAAGTTGGGGAAGGCTATTCCAGGCAGTTACTTTATTTACAGTATTTGTGCAATTCTTGCTAATTTCCTATCTAGTGATTTGTGATTAAAATCAAGTCAAGACCATTTAAAGACCACTGAATATTAGCTATTTTTTGCTGTTTTATATACAGTCAAACCTAAATTTATTCAGACACCTTCAACATTTCTCACATTATCACAGTTTATTCGCTATAGTTTAGAAAATGGTTATAAAATATGACAAGAACTCGGAGTTATCAAATCAGTTGATATTTCACTGGTTTTGGCCATCCTTCTGTTAGACTGTCTCACAAATGAATTAGGTTGAATAGCTGTCAGCTGTTCAATTTAAATACACAATTAGATAATACCAATTTAGGTCAACCAATTACCAAGCAATGCCTAATATTGTTCAGTCTGTGGTGTAAAAAGGTCGCATTAGCAATTAAAGAAAAAACACTTATATATAACATGGTCAAGACAAAGTGTGAATAATATTTGGTCCCATTTTTATAAAATTTACTGGTAGTCCGCTGTATGAAGAATTTTTGGGTATAATATGTCACAGTTTACTTTATTTTGCTATCCTCACTTACATAAATGAACTATAGTGTCCTGCACCCACTAGTAAAAAAATATAAAGAATTATATCTGGTGTCTGAATAATTTTTGGTTTGACTGTATATATATATACACTCACCTAAAGGATTATTAGGAACACCTGTTCAATTTCTCATTAATGCAATTATCTAATCAACCAATCACATGGCAGTTGCTTCAATGCATTTAGGGGTGTTGTCCTGGTCAAGACAATCTCCTGAACTCCAAACTGAATGTCAGAATGGGAAAGAAAGGTGATTCAAGCTATTTTGAGCGTGGCATGGTTGTTGGTGCCAGACGGGCCGGTCTGAGTATTTCACAATCTGCTCAGTTACTGGGATTTTCACGCACAACCATTTCTAGGGTTTACAAAGAATGGTGTGAAAAGGGAAAAACATCCAGTATGCGGCAGTCCTGTGGGCGAAAATGTCTTGTTGATGCTAGAGGTCAGAGAAGAATGGGCCGACTGATTCAAGCTGATAGAAGAGCAACTTTGACTGAAATAACCACTCGTTACAACCAAGGTATGCAGCAAAGCATTTGTGAAGCCACAACACGCATGAGGCGGATGGGCTACAACAGCAGAAGACCCCACCAGGTGCCACTCATCTCCACTACAAATAGGAAAAAGAGGCTACAGTTTGCAAGAGCTCACCAAAATTGGACAGTTGAAGACTGGAAAAATGTTGCCTGGTCTGATGAGTCTCGATTTCTGTTGAGACATTCAGATAGTAGAGTCAGAATTTGGCGTAAACAAAATGAGAACATGGATCCATCATGCCTTGTTGTAATGTTGTGGTGGTGTAATGGTGTGGGGGATGTTTTCTTGGCACACTTTAGGCCCCTTAGTGCCAATTGGGCATCGTTTAAATGCCACGGCCTACCTGAGCATTGTTTCTGACCATGTCCATCCCTTTATGACCATGTACCCATCCTCTGATGGCTACTTCCAGCAGGATAATGCACCATGTCACAAAGCTCGAATTATTTCAAATTGGTTTCTTGAACATGACAATGAGTTCACTGTACAAAAATGGCCCCCACAGTCACCAGATCTCAACCCAATAGAGCATCTTTGGGATGTGGTGGAACGGGAGCTTCGTCCCCTGGATGTGCATCCCACAAATCTCCATCAACTGCAAGATGCTATCCTATCAATATGGGCCAACATTTCTAAAGAATGCTTTCAGCACCTTGTTGAATCAATGCCACGTAGAATTAAGGCAGTTCTGAAGGCGAAAGGGGGTCAAACACAGTATTAGTATGGTGTTCCTAATAATCCTTTAGGTGAGTGTGTGTATATAATTCATTACATTACATTTATATAGCGCTTTTCTAGGCACTCAAAGCGCTTCACATGGAAGGGGGAATCTCCTCAACCACCACCAATGTATCATATACACTACCGTTCAAAAGTTTGGGTTCAGTGAGAATTTTATTTTTATTTTTTGGAGGAAAGAAATCAATACTTAATTTGATCGAAAGTGACAGTAAAGACATTTATAATGTTACAAAAGATTCTATTTCAAACAAATGCTGTTCTTTTGAACTTCCTATTCATCAAAGAATCCTAAAAAGAAGAAAACTGTACAACTGACAGACCAACAACTGTTTCAACATTGATAATAATAATAAATGTTTCTTGAGCATCAAATCCTCATATTATACTGATTTGTGAAGGATCATTTGACACTGAAGACACTGACACTGGTGATGCTGAAAATTCAGCTTTGATCACAGGAATAAATTACACTTTACTATATATTCACAAAGAAAACAGCTGATTTACACTGGAATAATATTTAATACTATAACTGATTTTTGTTGTATTTTTAATCAAATAAGTGTAGCCATGGTTAGCAGAAGAGAATTCTTTTAAAAGTATTTAAAATCGTACCGACCCCAAACTTTTGAACGGTAGTGTATATATATATATTATATTTTTGTATATATATATATTATATTTATATTATTATTTTTATATATTTTTTTACTTTAGAGCTGCACGATTTTGGTTAAATTGTGAATCACTTTTTTTTTTGTCAAGTAAGTTTTATTGAAAGACAATAAAAAAAAAAAAAAGATACATTTACAATCCAACAGATGTCTCTTTACCAATAATACAGAAAAAATAAATAAAAATAATAATTATTAAAAATAAAAAATATATAAACAAACCATCCCATACCCAACCTATTTACATTGACTTGAAAAGGTATGATGAAGGAATGTTAAAACGTTACATTAACAAAATGATGCATTCATCCACATGGTTTCCATCAAGATAACAGCTAAAAGGGTGCCAGATTTTGTCAAACTGCTCAAATTTTCCCTTCAAACAGTATCTAATTTGTTCCAAATGTAAAGTAAAAGACATCTCTCCAAGCCATAACTTGACAGTAGGAGCCTCCTTTTTCTTCCAGAACAACAGTAATTAAACTAGATGCAAGCAGTTTGTGCTGTGCTCCTGACAATGGATGCATATGTTCAGAAAGTCCCAGAATGATGGCTGCCGGGTCCGGCTGCATTTGCACCCTAAAAATGTCTGAAAGCACATCAAAAATTCCATTCCAATAACTCTGTATCTTGGAGCAAAAAACAAAACTATCAGACAAATCAGCATCTACTGAACTACATTTATCACAAAGAGGTGAAACACTTTGGAAAATTCTATGCAGTTTCTTTTTTGAATAATGCAGTCTGTGAATGACCTTAAACTGAATAAGGGGGTTGCACACTGGAAGAGAAGCGCAGCGCCGCATCGCACAGCTCCATGTCTTTAAAATTTGAACACATTTTTCTCTATGAGTGTACACACACCGGCGGCGTCATTCGGCGTCTGTCCGTGGCGCCCAGCTACGGCTCAGGACCTTGTTCAAAATCCTGCCGCGCCACAGAGCGCCAACATAGTTTTATATAAAATTTACATTTATTTGTCTCAAATCGTTGTTAATGTATATACTGACTTTACCCTGTGCTGCAATATACAGTTGGTTTAACATTCATTTACAGAAATCAGCTGGTTGAATGAAAATTGCTGATGTTATCGGATTTTCAGGTGATATTCTCAATTCATTCAGTTAACGGACGCCCTGAGGTAAAGAGAATTCAGACTGCAGACTAAGCAACGATTGTATTTAATTGTACAGTACAATCATAACATAGTACATGCATGATCTTAATTCCATAATGTCCTTAAACATAACAATATCGCTGGCCATAAACTGACAAAGTGCGCGTCCGGTGTGCGATACCTCGAGTTGTCAAAGATGCGCCGCGGCGCTGCGCTTCTCGTCCGGTGTGCGACCCCCTTAAGGCAGTGTCTGGAATTGATAGAATGTTCATTTGTATCTTTTAAACTCTTCTGCCAAGTTTCCTCTGACATTTCCACTCCTGGTTCTTTCTCCCAGTCCTCCTTAATAATCTTGTAGAGGGAGAATTAAAGGATTGCAGCAAGTTATATATAATCGTTGAGGGTGATGTAATATCCAATGAAGGTGTATGAGCACGTATATAATTCCTAATCTGCAGAAATCTAAAAAAAATTTACTCTGTGGAAGTTTAAATTTCTGTTGCAGTTGACTAAAGGATGCCAGAACCTCATCAAAGAAAAGATCTCCTATTAGTACATATACCCAATTCTTCCCGTTGCGTAAAGGTCCCATCTAATCTTGATGGCGTAAATGATATACTCTTAGTAATAGGAGTTAGAAATGAAAGGGACTTTATCTTGAAATGTTCTTTATCTGTTTTCAGATCCGACGTATTTTCCCAATTATGATATTACTATTAACGATAGAATGATTCAGAGTTACAGAAGAGAGAATCACCGATCCCGGATTGTAGGGATAACACTGATCACAAATTATTTGGAGCCAATCTGGAGGAACACTATGATCATCCAACCACATTGAAATTTGTCTGATGTGAGAAGCCCAGTAATAAAGACGAAAGTCTGGGAGTGCCAGACCTCCCTCTTGTTTAGGTTTACAGAGATGTGCCTTCTTAACTCAGTGATTCTTGTATCCCCACAAAATCGGAAGAATAATCGAATCCAACTGCCTAAAGAAGGATTTAGGCAGAAAGATTGGATCATTCTGGAAAATGTATAATATCTGTGGTAAAAATATACTGAACTGCCACCTGCATTTCAACTTATCCTTGGAATCAGGTTTTAAGTGTGTTTCCTGCAAAAAATATTACATCCGCAGAGAGTGATTTAAAGTGGGATAGTACCTGACTTCTTTTAACAGGGTGATTTAGACCGTTCAAATTCCACGAAGCAAAAACAAGCCCTTGTCTGTTACCTGATGTTACAGCATTACTCTGCATCATTAGGGACCTAATATATCGTTATCACCACACATATTACACTTTGAAGAATTTTAAACAGGTCCCCGCCCACCCGCCAACTTATATAACAACCTCGTCATTCTGACTGACAATTAGAACCAGCGGTGCGAGACAAGGTCAATTGAAAATGAACAAATTAGTATCAGAACAGCAATGAGTGATAAATTAAATTTCTAGAAAACACCTAACATACATATCTTATTCGTTGACCTCCAAACAATAATCAACACAGCTCCACAGTAGAGAATTTCAGAAGAACATCTCAGAACATATAGAAAAATCAAAAGGAAAGAAAGGAACAGATGTAACGAGTCGTGGTTATGAAAATTTTACACTTATCATAACAAAATAATTACACTCAGAGAGTGTTGTATTGTTGGCACTCATCTCAGATGCGTGACATCTTTAAAACAATCAACCGGATCCAAAGCAGTTTTCTGCAAACTTGACGGCCTTGTCAGGATCCGTGAAATAAGCCGTTGAATGAGATCCTTAATTTTGCTGGGTACTGTAGACCGTACTTGACACCAGGTTTGTCCCTCAGCAGTTCCCTTGCTCGTTTGAAAAGTGTCACTAGTTCCTCCCTGTTAAGGCCTCCTCTGTACAAATAATAGTTGTCGGGATAATTCCGGTTCACGTGGCTACGTCGAAACGATAAAATTCTGTATTATAAATTTCAAGGCCAGACAAGTAGTTTGTTGAGGGTTGGTATTTTAGGGAAGGACTACATGTCTGCGCACATATATTCAAACGCGCATACCTATAGAATGAACTCTTAATACGCATGTGCACGGCATCAGCGTTCTCACAGGTTCACGTTTTTAAAGTTTGCGTAGAGTGAACTTAAGAGTTTTCTGTTAAAATGGGTTCGTGTTAGCGGCCCCTAAGTTAATAACTAATGATGATTGTTGCGACGGAAGTGAATCAATTAAAACTAACTTTAGCTGGAAAATAACTTTATTCTAGAGCTGTCATAAAGCCAAAACAATTCCTGTTGCTTTGATTTCCTATCATCGCTGTAAAGCAGCTTCGGAACAATCTACATTGTTAAAAGCGCTAGTTAATGAAGATGACTTGACTTGACTCATGATGGGGGAGGAGAGAGACTGAGCAAGAGGTATGTTTGAAGAAAGACTGTAGAAAGAGAGATGGCTGGGAAACATTACAAAAGAGAAAAGGTCAGATGAATATCACTGGAAAAAAGAAGAGTTAGATCTACAAAAGAGTGATCAGGCAAGCGCTGTTGGACCCACATTAATATTAGAAATCCAGCACTAGTGAAGGCCTGAAAACGGACACTGAGGTTGCATTGTGTCTGCTCCATTCACGAGTAACATTGGTTTTTGCTGTTTCACAGAACTAAGATATGCTGTTGTTCTAGTGTTAGCTATAGTAACAGGACAGTTTTGACTGTCATTGTTTGTCTTGAGCTGGTGTGCTATTGGTGGCTTTTGCTAATATATACTGTTGTGTACTGTATGCTCTTTTTTTTGTTCTCCTTGTCGTTTGTTCGTCATCTTCGCATTGTTTTGCGAATCATTGTTTTGCTTCGCTTCAGTTATGATAAAGGGACATCCACTCTTGCATAGCATGTTTGTGCATTTTGGGGCAGAGCAATGAAGTGAGGGGTGTGTTTGATTGTATTGTATATATTATAATACCGTATATATCTTGTATATCATGTTTTTCCCCCCTCAAAGGCTTACAAGGAGCAGTTAAAAAGAGACAGCGTGGTCACAGCCAAAGCCATAATAAATAATGATAATGTGAAAGTGCGCTATGAGAGGTACATGAAGGTAACAACATTTGTGGCATGTTGAAACACAAAATAAGGTTTTAATTTTTTAAAAGAATATTTGAAGTTATTTTTCTTTTAATTTGACAGGGAGAAGATCCATTTGCAACAGATGCCAAAGACACAAGTTCTGATTCTCAGGACCCCGAGAGATCTGATGAGGCAGAGGAAGATGAAAAGAACAGTGACTCATAAGAATGGATATAAGTATTAAATGGAGAAAAAGAGAAAAGAGGGAAAGGCTCGTTCTACGGTAGTTTCTTGTTCTTTAACTTCAAATGCTCAGATGACCTTGTAATGTAAAAGGCCTAAGATTCATTTTTCGTCATTTTGATTTAATAATTCAGTCCACATTGATTCATGCTTATAAGTGTAGGCTAGTTTTCCTCTCAAAATGTAGGCAATTTCTTTCTTTCTTTAAAAAAAAAGTGTACTCTTCACAGTGCAGTCTGAGATTAATTCTGTCTACTTGAGTCAAGTTGTACTGTCTCTGTAGTAGGCCTATATATGCATGTTTGGAGTAAAACTATTTTGCCACTGTTTTGAATGCCATTAAAATTTACAGTATTATATTTGAATGCAGATGTTAGATTTTGTTGCTCCCGATAATTTTTGGGATTGGAAATTTGCCTTTTCACGATTTGTTCTGAGATGAGATGTGTTGACCATTCAATTTTCATTTTACACCAGATGTGATTGCTGTGAAAATATATTTTACAGCGTGGAGCATTACAACTGAATACTGGAGGTCCCTCTACCGGAGGAAACAACTAATGGCAGCTCTATAAGCAATAAATCTGCAATGGTATGAAATCAAATAGGTTCCAAACGCGAAGACGTATCGGTAGGGATTAGAAAGATTGTAATTAAATTAGATTAAAAGTTAATTTCCTTTATTTTAGTCTCAGAATATGACAAGTTCTTTTTGACCTCGTTTTATTTATAGGGAAGAAACCAATAGGCTACCTAGCGGGCATGCGTTTTCATCCTTATACATGCATCTCCAAGTTCACAAATGCACAAGCTTATTTTCTTCTCTTAAGCCCCGTTCACACTACAAGCGACAAAGCGACACGATACCATTCATTTCAATGGGGAGGGTGATGTCCCAGATTTTTGTATATATTTTTTTTATATATAAGGCACTTAAATGCTAATTTCTAATGACTTATGGGAACAGACTGTATTACTTAGTTTGGTTCTAAGCAGTGATTAAATTGGGATTTATTATGTGGGCTCTCCCTAGGGGTCTCCGGGGGTATGCTCCCCCGGGAGTTTTTTAAAAAAAATAAACCATTAAATGGCACTTTCTGGAGAATTTTGTGCAAAGAAATTGAGAAAATGAGTCTTACATGAGATGTGAAAAACTGCAAGGTTAAGAGCATATACTTTGCATTGTTGTAGTATCAACAGGTATTAGGACATTTAGCATTTACATTACTGTTAATAAGTCATGTACTGATTAACTAAAATTAAAAACTCAAATAAATGGTTGATTTAATTTCCATTAACCACCTAGCTTACCCCCCAAGGATAGATTGAAAAATAAAATCAATCTATCCTTGTGGAAAGGTTCCTTGGTAGCTAAAAGTAGGTCTAGCAAGTCTTATATTTCTGTAATTCACACAGCTCAAACACAAATATGCTGCCTGAATAGATTGCTAGTTTATTTTGAGTAGCCAGCTAGCAGTTCTCTTGGCAGTTTGCTGATAATCCGATGTCTGAAGTAAAATGCTCAAAACATCTCCTGAGAAAAATCACATGGCCAATAGTCTTGGTTATTTAATTTAGATTTAGTCTTATTTTCCTTACCTTGTCATTCAAGGCCAGGGCACTTTATGCACATTTCTGGAACTTTTGCACGCTTCCACATCCCGCGCAACTAGGATCTCCCAGGAACACTCATTATATATTGCTGCGTACATTTATCCGTGTCACCTAGATAGGCATTTGCGAGCGGTGCGCGAACATTATACGTCCCCCCCACGTATAATGGCTCCTACGCCCCTGGTCTCTATTATAGAACAATTATAGAACTACGAAATTATAGAGCCAACTTTGTACAGTCACAATCAGATAGATTAATAGATCGTTGAGTCAAATCTCTCCAGCAACTGCCTGGGAGGTTTGACTGTTGCCGAGGTAAAGCCATTTCTGACCAGGCCAGTGCATACATCCATTAAGCTGGAGGGTAGTGGTAGTCCCATACGATTCCTAGTGTCATTTTTTAAAAGCGAGATGAAGGAAAATGCTCGCTCAACATGGGCATTGGAAACAGGCAGAACAAGAAGTCTTATGGCACCTTGTGCCAATTCCTGGAAACACTTGTGCCCCCCTGCATCTTCAAACGCTTCGACTTTCGAGCCAAAACTTGTCAATGTCCTGATCATCAGAGAAGCTTGCGGTTGTCACATTCCTCCACTGCGATTCTAATGTTCCAATGAGGCACGAGAAAAGATCAGCTGGCAAGTCCTTTACTCCAGGCCTATTTATAGTGGACATAACAGATTTCGGGCAGATGAGCTCCAGTTTGCGCAGGAATTCCATTGAAGCAGGTAAACGCAATTGGTACTGCTTTACAAGTTCTTTCAGAAAATCCATACAACGCGAAGCAATTCTCTCCTTCATGTCTGGGGCTAACCTACTTTCCTCCAGTTTGTCCATAAATGTGGTACCCAGGTCCGCATCCAGAGGGGATAGGAATATGCCAGACTGAGATCAAGTTCACGGAGCTGCTTGTGATTACACAAGACGCTCGGTTTGAGAATGCGTCTAACAGTTGTCATGTACAGCCTTTCCAAGTCTCTAAACACACTGAGAGTGTTTCCTGTTTCTAATTGAAAGCATTTATTTACAGCTTTGATTTCCATCAGAACAGGTTGAAGAAAGTACATGTAAAGGAGATTACTTTTGTCATTGTACATTTCCATTAAAAGCCGAGCAGTATAAGAGTGTTCTGTACTTGAAGCCATGTTAAAGTGCAATGTGAGGGCATCTTTTTGATCCACAATGTGGTTAATGCAGTCAGCCATCACAAGCCAATGGGTACAGCTTGGACTTATTAATTTCAAGGGGTTGCCCCCGTTATTAATAGTCTCGTATATGTTCTTGTATTCATACTGCCCCTTTGCTGAATGAGCGAACCAGTTGTAGGTTTCTCTAACCATGTATTCTATGTTGCTCGGAAGAAGCTGCATTGCTTTATTTGCAACAATGTCAAGTGAATGGCAAACACAGCGAATAAGCTGCAGGTTTAGCTGTATTTGTTTAAGTAGGGTGAAAACCGAGTGTTTTTTTCCAACCATTACGCTGGCACCATCTGTGGCAATGCCCATCATGTTTTTAATCTGCAGGCCGTTCTTAATTAGAAAAGCAACAACAGTGTATGATATGGCTTTAGCATCAGCATCTGTCAGCTCCACAAGTCCAAGATATGTACTGATAAACTTGCTGTGTTTTTTGAGTGGTATTTCACACAAATGCAAAGAAGTTTGTTCACGGATATGTCATATGCTTTCATCGAGATACAGGGAATATGGAGACTCACCAATATCCTCCACAAGTTCTTCTCTGAAGTGTGGCGCGAGGACAGATTTGTCCGGTGCATTTGGAATGTTCCCATCTCATCTTTCAAAATGTCTGACAAATCGTCCACCGCATTTATTGAACTGTGACAAGCAATGTAGGCAGCGATTCTAATTTCACGGCGCTTTTGGTTATCTTTGATCGGACACTGCCCTAGCTGCTGCTCCCGCTGGCACAGTAAAAAATTTTTACACTTCGTGCACAGCGCGATTTGTGTTTTTTTGTGTTAGCATGCTCTTTCAAATCGTTTAACTGTGCTCTGATTTCTGACAGTATTTACAAAATGCCTTTGACTCACCGCCTACCACGGGTGCAATCCATGTTTTCAGAGACGGGTCGCTCTCCCATTCCTTTCTGTAGGACTTTTTATATTTACCCCACTTGGCATGATGATGATGATGATAAATGCAGTTTTGACGATATAACAAATAGAAAGATTAGCCTACAAAAACCCGCCAATCAAGCTTGAAGTCCGATTGGACAGGATTCCCCTGAACCTTATTGGCAAATACAAGGTAGTAATAGGACTTACACAGTGGTAAAACAAAAATCTATTTCAGTGACTGCAGCACTGCGTCGTTTACTAACGTTACACTATAACCATCATGTTAACGATCAGCCTAACAGTATTTGATTTGGTACAATTCATTCATATCAAACATTAAGCAAGCTTACCTTTACGCTTGTGCCAGGTCCAGAAATGAGCTGTGTCCGGTGCAGTAACGTTACGTTGGTATAACACCTGTTGATCTCCCGGTCAACCAAACATCTATTGATTTTCAATCATATTTCCCGGTCAACTATATATCGATGCATTTTCAATCATATGTCCCCCTCAACTATATGTCGATGACTTTTCAACAACAGCGTCGTTTCCCGGTCAACTATAAGTCAACTTTTCAACACATTCAGCGATCGCCCGGTAAACCAAATAGCAATGTTTAATCAATCATAAAGATAACTAGGGGGAGACCGGGGTCATAACACGGGTCAGTTGTAACAATTCCAATCTGTCCAATCAGGAACTAGTTACAAATCCCCTGATTCACTTCGCACATGCTCAGTTTAGTCCTTATTTCACATGTAATAAAGTAGAGCCCTGTGGCAAACACAGCAGGTGTTAGAGTGGAAAAACCAATTTTGAGGTATGGAAGTAACTTTTTTTTACTTTGTTTATTTTTGTTATGGGAATTTCTGCTTTATAGTTAAACTCATCAAATTTAAATTATGTTGATTGTGTGTCTGTGTAGATATTTTTCATGTAAGTTGTTAGTGCAAATGTTTTGCCTGTTAGCTGTAAGGTGAGCTAGTTCATGGCTCCATGACTCTGGGTTAGTTGTAACAACAATGAAACGTTACAACCTAACCCTAACACCTTACACACGTCACACACGTCTCTCTCTCACACACACACACGTTCAATTTAAATTTTATTATGGCCAATACTATTAACTGACAGTAACAAACGTGCTTACACCAACACAAGTGTTCAATTTCAATTTATTATGGCCAATAACTATGACTGACAGTAACACTAACAAACAAGCTTACACACAAACAATGTTTTGTGTTCAAGTTAAATTTATAGTGGTCAATTACTATGACTAAGAGTGACACTCACACAGACACACACACATCAGTTATATTGAAAAGTCAGTGTTGAATAAAAAGCTTTCAAAATCCTTTTTTGTTTGTTTTTTTTTGTCAAAATCCTTATTTCATTATGTTACATATCACCCCGGTGGATCTCATAATGTTACATCTCACCCCAGGGTATGTTACAACTAACCCAGACTATGGGGTGAATTGTAACATTTCACTCCTTGTGTTTGAAACTAAACCATGGATTTTCTGTTTGTGTTGCAAAGATAAAAGTTATGTCATTTGATAGCAGACACTTGTAACTTTTGAATCACATTTTGAACACACTGGCTTAAAAGTACTCCAAGATATAGACAGAAAGGTCAAAAATGTTACAACCACCC